GGCCTCAAAGGCCGAAACTTATGGTGTCGGGTTTTGAGGGCCAGACGAAAGCACACACGAACCAGAAAGCCTATCCCTGTTGTGACCGTTGGGTTTTAATTCCGTTGTTACTGGAGTTGAGTTCAAATGAGGAACACTATATTATAGAGGAATGTGAGGATTGATGCAGTCGTGTGCCATTAGTCTATCTATCGTGTGCATGACCGGATGTAGTCGTGTGCCATAATTTGTATGTCGTGTGCATAGATTTGTTAATTAATAGAGCTTGGGTTCGAAACCTGATGTTTACATGTATTCTTGTGTGTCATTGTGTATTAAGTTGTGTGCCTGCTACTAATTTATTGTGTGCCCGTAATTAGTCCGCACAGTCCTCTATATATTGTAGTCCTCATATGAACTCAACCGTGTGTGTGTATATGTGTGTGTATATATATATATAGTGACAATTCCTGATCTAGCATTCAACATTCAGTAGTGTTGAACTGTTGATACATTTAGTTCTTTGTTTTCAAAATAGTTTCACATTTAATTAGTTGAAAATGCTTTCATTTTGTGTATATTTCATCATATCAAATTTCACATTCTTGCATGTGATGACGAGGTTTTGAATATTTTTGGGGTGTTTGACTAATTGACAGCATTAGCTGATTGTATAAAAATGTTTGGTAAATTAGTTGTTAGTTGTTAGTTGATTACATATAAAATGACTTTCTCAAAAAACTAATCGAAAAAACTATTTTGAGCAAACGTTTTGAATTTTAGCATTTTGAAGCAATAAGTTGTTACAAAAAACTAATTAAGCAAATACTCATATTGATTGTTTAACCAAGTCAAACATCTAATAGTGGTCAAATAAGTCAAAATTAACTGATAGACTAACTATTTTACCAAACAGGGTCATTGTCTTAAAGGTTAAACAATATTGAAATCCGATCAGCCAAGCACATTGTGCTTAGATAACACCTTTATAACTCTCCTTGAGAGAAGGTCACAGGATCGAACCCCGACAGTCGAACTACAACACATAGAGAAAATATATAACAAATACGTACACCTTGTTGTAATAGAGTCAATAGTACCCAAAAAAAAAACATTGAAGTCCGATCCGATGACTAATAATTATGTAATTAAAAATAATTAAAAATCAGGAATTAGATATAAAATCTTGAGTATAGCCAAGAGCAAAAATATAAGGATTTTATCTCAACTTCCCTATTGAGGTTAGATTTATGGAAGCCAAGATGGGGCCCAGCATGATGCATCTAATAATGTTAGCGTAGTACGTTGCCAGCCAATTTTGATGTTTGGGTTATATATACGGAGAATTTATGAACTTGCTTGTATGCTCCCTCTTCTTATAGCATGGTATGGACGTAAGGTGTGGACTTTTTTTTTTATTAAAAAAAAAACAAAAAAAAAAAAAAAAAAAAAAAAAAAAAAAAAAAAAACACTAAACAGACAAAGTTCATTAACTAAGATCTAACTTCAGAGCAGTACAAATAAAACTAGGAGGAACGAATTTCACTTCATGAAATCAGCTAACAAAATCGACATTCGAACAAGTAAATGGGTAGCCTAGTTTGTAGATCGCTTAATAAACGAAATTTAAACATGCGACAAAGCATTAAAAATATCGTTAATATAAAGTAAAATGAGGTCAAAAGAAGAGTCTTGTCCAACAGAGTTAAGTCCACAAAGAATCTGTAGTGCATCTGTTTCGACTTAAACATAATCCAAGTTGAGGGCCTTTATCCACGAGAGTGCTTCTCGCACAGCCAAATTAAAGATTCTGCCTCATAAGCCGAAAGAAGTCCCTCGCAAGGAACACACTTTGCAGCTTAAAAGGCACCATACTCATCCCTTAGAACCCATCCAAAATCTGGTTTTCCCCCACCTACATTAATTGTTGCGTCTATATTTAGCTTTGAGCAGCCATCATTTGGCTTTACCCACTTCTCAATCTCCCTAAAAGGATGAGAGAAGTAAAATCAATTCAGTTACAACTGACAGAGATTACAAAGTATATCACAAAGATAAACGCTGAACTCTCCTAACTAATAGACTAGCCTTAGTCAACTAATCTAACACCACACAAATACTAACTATAATATAACACAAATAATACATGAAATAATAACACTATTAACACACTCCATCAAGCACAAGGTTGATGGGCAACAACGTTGAGCTTGTCCCGGAGAGCTGCAAACCTCGGCCCGAGCAATGGTTTGGTGAATATATCCGCTAGCTGGTCCTTGGTTGACACAAAGCTAACCACGAAGTCACCAAATGCAACTTTGTCCCGGACGAAATGATAGTCGATCTCAACATGTTTAGTCCTTGCGTGAAAAACTGGATTGACGCAAAGATATGTTGCCCCTAGATTGTCACACCACAAGGTCGACGGCTGGCGAGAGTGTAACACCCCGTGTTATGCCCTTTAAACGCGGATTAATTATTTAATTGATTTCGTTAAAGAATAATTAAGGAATTTGAGTAAGCAGAGACCCTTAATTAACTAGTGTGGTCCACGGTGGACCGTGGACCCTTGCCTGTATTAAAGCCTTAAAACTCGTTACGATAAAGAAGTTGGGCCCAGTACTAATCAGATTCTAATTAGGAGTCCTAAATCTATATAAAAAGGAATTAGAAAGCTTTAGGACCCCTTCCCTCTCACATACTCGAAAATCCCCCCTCCCAGAGATCAGACAAGGAATTCCCCGTCACCAAGTTTAGGAAAGACTAATAGGAAGAGAACCTTGAGGAAATACCCTAGAAGTCGTAAGAAGTTTAATTAAAGCTACCAGGTAACCCATGTCTTACAAAACCTATTTTCCTTGCTATGTCTTATTTATTGGCTTCTTGATTTAATTGTATGTGACATCTTGATTATGTGCCTTGATAGAACTTGTCTTTAGGATTTATATGTGGTTCTTGATGTTCTTGATCCGTTATTTGTTCATTCTTGAGTCTTGGCATGTTTAGAGCTTATGTTTAGGATGTAATTGTGTTGCTTCTTGGATAATTCTTGATGTTCAAGTCTTATTGTTGTTGATGTGTGTTAGGAGGTGTTTGGACTTGATTTTGGGTGAGATTGATGAATTCCCGGGTTGGGAAAAGTGCCAAGAAGAGCATGTTCCAGCGGGTAGTCGGTGGGGGAACGAACCCCCTACTGACCACCTGCCGGGTACCGGTCATCGTACCAGCGGGTGGCCGGCGGGTGGACGACCACCCGCCGGTGTACCCGCTGGTACAGTACCGCCCGCCGACAGGCAGTCCGGCGGGAGGTTGTCCTCCTGCCGTACCGCCCGCTGATACGGGCGGGGCAGTGTGTTGTTTTTCCCCGTGCCTCGTTTGATGTTTGTGAGTCTAGTTTGATGCATTGGGTACCGAATTAGGATTTTGGGGACTTGGTTTCTATATGTGGTTTAAGTCGGTATCCTGTTGGCCTAGGATGAGGTTTGTATGTTCCCTTGCGAGTCTTGAGGGCTGTCTTGTGCTCATTGGAAGTAGAGTCTAGATTGTTCCCCTTGGGTTGTGCGTTCGTATTATGTCAATTGTTGATAAGAGTCCGTTGTTGCGTTCCCTTCCCCTTTGACTACTCCCTTGTGAAGTATTGTTGAGTATTGATTGTTATTGTTGTGAGTATTGGATGTTGTTGTTGTTGTCCATGGTGAAAAGAAGAGACATGAGTGATGGACAATTTTAATATGTCCTCGCAAGTGCACGAGTCAATTGTAATGATAGTGTGCAAAGGCAAGGATCGAACTCACAGGGAATTGATACACTGCAATTTGTAAACTAAACTTAAGAAATAAATAACTAAATAAGTTAAAGTAATGGAATAAAATGCCACATATAATGATCACTAAAACTCATGAAGTTAAAGCAATAACTAAAATGAACAGCAACAAAGCTTAGAATTTGAATATTGATTAATTGAAACAGTGTTTAGAAATTGGGAATTGATAATTTTAAGTAATAAAACTAACTTAATAACAAAAAAAAACAATCCAAAATTAAACAATATTTATAAAACTAAATATACTAATAATAAATAAAATTAATTAATTGTTGTAAATTAATTATAAAAAAATTATTAAAAATAACAATAAAAATAATGTTTATCAATGAGATTGGTGGTACAAAATTGATAGGTGGATTTGATGCACTGAGCATGTTTTTGGTGATAACTGCATTGCGGTGCAATTATCCTTTTGATATGGTGCTGCGATACCTATTTGATGCACTTCGCGTGCTTTTGGTATTGCACTGAGATACAATCTGGTGGTTTGATAGGGTTGCAGGAGGGAGCATGCGCTGCTCCGGAGGGATAAGGGTGTGGTGATAAAAGGGTGACCTGGAGGTAAAGGTTGGAACTGTCATAAGGATGGAGAGGAGTAAAGGTTGGAACTTGGTATAAGGTTGGATCATGGATATGTTTGTTGTTGTTGCTTGCTATTGTTGTATCTTGTTGTGGCATGACTTGTGACCTTAAATAGCATGCTTGTGCCTTTATGTTGTCGCATGATGTCGAGTCTGTTGGTCTGTCTTGGGTCGCTATCTTGTTTTAAAGTTGGAGTCGGTTAGGGCTATATTTATGTATTCCCAAGTCTCAAAATGATTTCTTATATCTATATGTATTGTACTCAACGTGTGGGAGTGAGTTACTCAGCATTATTCGCTGACGGTTGTTATACCATATGTTTTTCAGGTAATGATCAGTAGCTTCGGAGTGCGCTAGACGGGTTCGTGGGCTTAGCTTTAGTTTGTACTTGTTTAGTTGCTATGGCCTGTGTGCCTTGGATGTATTTGAATGTTGTCTATGGATTGTGCTTAGTTAATTAGTTGTAGCCTGTGATCTAAGCTCTCAAGCTTAGATGTGGCATGACACCCCGACACTCATAATGTAGTTTTCGCTATGCTTGGGCATTATTGATAGATTTGCTCCTATTTTGGTAAGTTTTAATGGTTTTAAATTAGTCTGAAAATTAGGGGTGTTATACAGAGTGTAAGCCAAGTTCCCGATGCAATGAGACGACCCATGTGACCTCAGCCGACACATCAGCCAGGGCTTTAAACTCAGCTTCAGTAGATGAACGAGCCACGATGCGCTGCTTCCTGGAGAGCCAAGAAATGAGGTTGGAGCCTAAGAAAATAGCATACCCACTCGTGCTCTTCTTGTCAATCGGACACCCGATCCAGTCAGAGTCGGAGTAAGCATGAATGGTAGCGGAGGAAGAAGCTGAGAGGCGTAACCCATAGTCGAGAGTGCCTTTGATGTACCGTAACACGCGCTGCACTAGGCCCCAATTGTCAACAGTCGGAGAGTGCATAAACTGGCATACATGGTTGACTACATAAGAGAGGTCCCGTCGAGTGATAGCCAAGTATTGCAAGGCGCCCACTATGCGGCGGTACTGAGTTGGATTCTCACACGGTTGAGTTGAAGGAGTAACGGCTTGTGTAATAGCAACTGGTGTGGCAAGTGGTTTGCAGTCCACCATCCCAGACCGATTTAGTAAGTCAGTCATGTAGCGCCGCTGTGAGAGTACTAAGCCGTCATCGGCCGCAATTGTTTCAATACCCAAACAAAAACTAGGTTTGCCAAGGTCTCGGATCTTAAAAGCCGATGCTAGGCGACGGAGCATAGTATCGACTAGAGCATCCTCGTTTCCCATCATAATGATGTCGTCGACATAAACAAGTAAGAACACCCGTGATGTGCCGGAGGTATAGTGAAAAAGCGAGGCATCCGTTCTGGAAGGCGAGAACCCTGCAGACAGTAAAAAATCATGAAGTCTTTTAAACCAAGCCGGAGGGGCTTGTTTGAGCCCGTATAGAGAGCGTTGAAGATGGCAAACGTGACCAGGATGCGCCGGGTCTTCGTATCCTGGTAGTTGTTTCATGTAAACAGTCTCTGCCAAGTGACCATTCAGAAAAGCATTGTGTACATCTAACTGGTGCAGAGTCCAGCTATTTGACACGGCAAGAGAAAAGAGCATCCGGACCGTAGTCGGTTTGACAACTGGACTGAAGGTGTCGAAGAAATCTTCCCCTGCGACCTGATTGAAACCCTTAGCAACAAAGCGCGCCTTGTAGCGTTCTACCGAGCCATCAGCGATGCGTTTGGTGCAGAACACCCATTTGCACCCAATGATATTCATGTGTGGCTCAGGTGGAACGAGACGCCAAGTGTTGTTGTGAAGAAGTGCATTGAACTCCTGATCCATGGCCTCACGTCACTGGGGATGTCCTACAGCCTATGAGTAGCAATTCGGATCAGTAGTTGCACTTAATGCATGAAAGCACTCATTTGTCCTCGAGTCATGTGACAGAGACACATGACATGTCCCCGTTCCTGTGGTTGAACGCGGGTGCACTAACGTAGTTGCACTAACGGGTTTATTTTCCTATGTGCTTTTACAACCCCTTTTAGGTGGACCTAGTGCTTGAGAGCGCGCGTGATAGAGTAGTGCGTAGCTCTAGATTCAGTAGTTACTAGTTCAGTGCCCACTCCCCTTATTAGCACTTTATTGTTAGTTGTTATTGAACTACCTTGTTTTGATGGTGCGTAGACCCCGGTGTTTGTTCCCCTCGTTATAATGTTTTGTGGAGCTTTTGACTCTAGTATGCAGTAGACCTTGTTAGCATGTGCAGTTACCGAGAGTGGGCGACTATGGCGGTGACATTCCCCTTAGTTTACTTAAATGGACTGTTATCCTAGTTTATTTAATTTACCCTTGTTTAATCCTATTTAAGAATGATTATATTGGGTTTAGAGTTTAGAAAAAAGGGGGTGTTACAGCTATCTCCACTAGGAGCGGGAAAACATTGGAAAATCCCCCTATGCCTAATGATTAAGAACTACAAGAAGAATAAGTTGTTGAGAAGATAATTGAGAAAGGAAGAAAATTTGAAAAGAATGAAGAAGTTGAGAAAAATGTTGAGAATGAAGAGAAAATGAAAGAGAAAGAGTCACCAAAGAAGAAGACTAAGGAAGTACGAATAAGAAGTATAAGTGATTCCCTACAATCTCTTGCCATTTCCTCAAAAGTTATGGAGATCCCCAGAAGTAGAAAAGGAAAACAAGTTTAAGAAATGGTTAAGTGACCTAGAAATCACCATGCCCTTCATGGATGTCATCACAAAAATTCTAGCATATAAGAAGTTTTTAAAGAGTTCAGTGACAAGAAAAAAAAGGGAGTCGATGAGAAAACTATTGTGGAATTGAAAGGAAATTCCACAACTTGTGCGGTGCTGAAAAAGTCAATGCTGCCTAAATTGAATGATCTAAGTAGTTTCTCCATTCCATGTGTAATAGGAAAATTCGTTGTGGGTAAGGCGCTATGCGATTTAGGAGCCAGCGTGAGTATGATGTCATATTCTCTATGCAAAAAGCTAAATTTAGGTGAGCCATCACCTACTCACATGACTTTCCAAATAGTCGACTGGTCAACAAAAACTCCGGTTGCAATTTTAAAAGATGTTAGAGTGGTGATTTATCAGTATGTTATCTCTTGTGATTTCATGGTCCTAGATATGGAAGAAGACTCCAAGATCCAAACCATTTCTGGCAACAACGAGAGTAATCATTGATCTTAAGAAAGAAAAAATAGTGTTGGAATTGCTAAGAAAATGTGGAATTTGACATACTAGGTGATAAGGGCAAGAAGGATCCTACAACGGAGGAATGCACAATGGTGGATGTTGTTAACCGATGTGTGGAGAGAGTGTTGAACATTGAGAATAAAGGATTTCATATCTCGAGAGTTGGTTGTATGAAGAAAAGTTCAGGAAGTGCAATGTTAGTAAATGGAAAGACAATGTTGTTGTTGAAGTGAGCTGTAGTAAACAATAGCAGGGGTGGTATGGCATCTTTTTAGCCTTGGCTACAGCTAAGCATATTTGTAAGTTGCGTCGAGCTTGCGATGTTAAACATAGTGCTCCATGGGATGCACCCTATGTTATCTTTTTCTTCTTACGTTTATTTTCTTTTTGTTTTTGAGTTGCTTAGCATTTAGTGCATTCAGTTAGTTGAAATTTTTGTTCAGTGGGATAGTTCTAGTGCTCTTATTTCATGATTGTTTTTTTAGGTTAACCTGGGATGGTGTAATGAATGATTGACAGGATTTTCTTGTGAAGTGTTAGAGAATATGGTCAAGGAATTGTAGAAATGTTGCCTATTTGAACAAATATCAGCACTTACGTTGATTTATACAAAGATGGTGTGACATTGCAGGTCAAATGGAGCTAAGAAGTCTCTAACATTGAATGGAAATCTAAATGGAGCCTCAAGTTTCCTCAATAAATGAGGAGAGTTGAGGCTAAGCTAATTAGTTCAATTTTTTTTATTAAGGGCGTTTTGGGAAAATAGAACTCTTTCTCCAAAACACCAAACTCCAAATGTTGCTAAAAGCAGTGTTTGAGGTTTCAATGGTGTGGAGCAAAAGCATTACTCCAAACCACTAATTACCAAACACCGTATTCAGTGTTTTAATTAAAAGGGAAGTGTTTTTTTTTTTAATTATTTTTTTAGATATCGTGGTTAGCTTCTGTAACCTCTTTCTTCAAGAAAGGGTTGCGGAAACTCCGTATATATATATATATATATATATATATATATATATATATATATATATATATATATATATATATATATATATATATATATATATATATATATAGTCAAGTTTCTGTGAGGTCAGGTCTTCCCGTGCGGTCAGTGCGGCATACACCATTAGGTATGCATAAATGTACCACACAGTGTTCGAGAATACACTATATGTGTGGTGTGTATTTTTTTTGTCTGGTGCATTTTTTGACATTTCATTCTGGTATATTTTCGAACACTATATGGTGCATTTATGCATACTTAATGGTGTATGCCGCACTAACCGCACGGGAAGACCTGACCTCACAGGACCAAAATCTATATATATATATATATATATATATATATATATATATATATATATATATATATATATATATATATATATATATATTACGACTTTTTTTGACCCTTTATAGGAGAAAGGGTCGTAGAAAGTCGATCTGTACAAATTGCGACATTCTCCACACACCGAAGACATTCTCCATACTCCTCTCATCTTCTGTCCTCTGTTTTCCACACGATGACGACACTACCGCCACATTCAGCCTCCGCTTCCACCACTTCCACCAGCTGCCGTGATCAGCCACCACCACCACCACACTCAACTACTCCCACTGCCAGCCTTAGCCACTATAGCTAGCCACCTGACACCATTTTTGTCAATACGTTTTTTTTTTTTTTAAATTGTTAAGAATATGTATTATTATTATTATTATTATTATTATTATTATTATTATTATTATTATTTCGATAAATATGATATTTTTTAGAATTTTTATTTCACATTTTTATTAATTTGTGGTTATTTTTATTATTATATCTTGATATGTTAAAAATATGAATTTTGGTATATATATATATAAGGTCAGGTTCATGTGAGAATAGGTCTTCCCGTGCGGTCAGTGCGGCATACACCATTAGGTATGCATAAATGCACCACACAGTGTTCGAAAATACACCATTATGTGTGGTGTATTGTTTTTTTTTTTTTTTTTTTGTGGTGCATTTTTTGACATTTCGTTCTGGTGTATTCTCGAACATTGTATGGTGAATTTATGCATACCTAATGGTGTATGCCGCACTGGAAAACCTGTTCTCACAGGAACCAATATATATATATATATATATATATATATATATATATATATATATATATATATTAATGTGTGTATGTCCATGCTTTTATTTTATTTTTTATTTCGAAATTTTATGATTTTTAAGATGAGTTATTGTGATTAAATATTAAAGTGTGAATACCTTTGGGGCAAGAATTACTATTATTATTTTATTTCAAATTTTGGCATTTTAAATGTTTAGTTTTGAATTTTAATATATATTTTTTGTGAAGATGAAACTCTCGGTCTATGGTTCAGTAACAGTAAAAATAATAAGTTCATGAGAGTATGAGACACCAAGATATTTCTCCCTATTGGCAATCCTTATCGAAAGAAGAAAAAAATTTCAACGAAAAATCTAAGACTCGAGTAGCTCGTTTACCTTTATCTGGATATTACATACAATTTATGAACGTGTTAAAAATGTTATGAAATAACACATATTTCCATTCAAGTGAAAATCTTGAAAATAAAAAAGAAAGTATGAAATAAACACAAAAGTAGTGTTTTGATTATAATGTGATTCTTTTTCTACTGTTCAAAAATTTAAAAGGAAAAAAAGTCCAACATACAAATAAAATAAAATTAAAAGAGATAATTTCTAAATTAGTCTCTCGACTATTGAAATTAAAGAATGCATGAAATGATTCCTCAAATATTAGAATTTCAATATTTTTCTTGAATTTAACAGCGATTTAATAATTTTTTTTCACGGAAGACCAATTGCATACAAAATCAATAGTTAGAGGAGTCAAATTTATACTCCATAACTTTTAAAATTGAATATAAAATTAGATAAATGTGAGTAGTTAAGAGAATAAATCCAAAACTAACCCTTTTTTATAGGAAGATATTGTAATAAAAATAAAAACTCTGTTTTGTGTAAAATATAAAAATGCTAAATTAAAATTGCCAAATTTGGTTTATACGCATCTGTTTACTTTTGTTGCTCAACAACGGGTATTCATAATCTAGAAGTCTTAGATTTGATTGTCGGTTAAACATTTCTTGGTCCTTCTATACTGATTTTGTGTTTGAAAAATATGAGATTTTTAATGTCTCTAATAATAATAATAATAATAATAATAATAATAATAATAATAATAATAATAATAATAATAATAACAACAACAACAACAACAACAACAATAACAATAAAAATTTTTTGACATCATCTAAATTAGCAAACAAAGTAATGGTTGTGAAAACAGGAAAACGTAGTTGAGTTCTTCAGCTCAGAATTAGTTTTATTAAAAATGTAAGTATAACTAGACAATGTAATATTTAATATTTTTAAAAGTTTAATTATGTTATTATTATGTTTATTTTAAAGTTTATTGTTACTTGTATTATTATTTGAATCTGAATTTGAAATAACTACTTTAAAATATAACTAATATATTTTTAAAAAAATTGTATATATAGGTAAGAACTATGTTTATTTTATATCTAATTTCTCCTTTTTATATATGTGGAGTCAAATTAATTATAATTGAAGTTTAAATGAATATATACACAAATTATATTAAATATAAAACTTTACCAATAAATTTGAACACAATAAACTTTTTCCCTATTTCATTTTGCTTTAATATATATACAGATATAGATAGAGATATAATGAAATATAATTTATAAAATATAAATACACATAATAACTTCAAAAAAATATGTATAAATATATCTACCCACACAATTAATGCATTCATACTTGCTAATCTTATTTCTATCAAAATGCATTCACATTTTGGGGGAAAAATTTTGTAGCCATCATTTTACTTGTTTTTTTTTAATGCTACCGACTCTATTACAATGTAGTATCTGTTCATAATTACTTTCTCACCTACTAAGGCACAAAGAGCCAATAACACATCCACTAAAACTCGAACTCACAACCTCTCATATGGGAGTCCAATCCGGGTGCCATCATTTTACTGTAATATATATATATATATATATATATATATATATATATATATATATATATATATAGATAATAATAATAATAATAATAATAATAATAATAATAATAATAATAATAATGTTGTCCGTATTATGTTAGAAATTATTGAAGCAATCATACATTAGAGAAGTTTAGTTAATGAAATTTTAACAACACACGAAAGAAAGAAAGAAGATAATTGCGGTGCACGTTGGACGTTTTGAAATTATGACAAAACAACAAATTCCTTTTCATGTGTGACAGTGTCTTTATTATAGCCTCAACCATGTGCTTACTCTAGCAACAATTGTTAGCCACTTTTAGCTATGCCCTTTCAATTTTTTTTTTTTTTTCTATCTACAAACTTAATAAGGATCAATAAAGTTAGACCCCTAACGAGAATTAAAAAAATATTGGTGTAATTATTTGTTGAAATGGGTGGTTTATATTATTTTGATTTTAGTTTTTTTTTTTTTTATATATATTTTCTATTTTACCCTCTATTATATCATTTACTTTTCCTAAATACCTTTGTATTCTGTTAGTTTAACTTTAGTAACGGAATATTTCGTTAACTATTTATTATTCTTAACTTAGTCATTGATTTTTATAAGGAAGGTCTTAGGTTCGAACCACAACCCAATCAAAATTGACATAATTGTTAAACATATACTATGAATATGTTAGAGTGTATTAAAAAAATACAATATAAAATTCAGCAATAACTTTGGTCAATTAATTAGAATCACGCATTGGGCATTGATGAAATTGGTCAATTAATTAGAATCACGCATTGGGTATTGATGAAATGCTACACCTAATTTACAGTATATATTCAACACATATGAAAAATTATGTCTATTATCATTGTCTTTTTGGAGAAGGAGGATTTGGTTCTGTTTTTGAAGGTGCATTGTGCCAAGGCACTAAAATTGCAATAAGCACACTAGGGGAGTAGATAAAATCAAGAATTTATTTCTGGCGGAAGTGGCAACAAGAGGAAGCATGGACCCCATAGTGTTGAAGGAATGCTGAAAGGAAAGGGGTGAACGAGTGAGATATGGCGGCCTTTAGAGAGTCGAGGTGCAGCCCGATCCAGTCCTCTCGATGGCGTTTAATAACATTGCCAAGACTGCGTTGGGCGTCGTATGTGACTCGGCCGTCGAGAAGACGGGAAAGGTCTTGGAGTTCAACCAGAGTCAGGAGAGGTTCATAGGTCTCGACCTACTCGGCTTTCAAGAATTTGTGCCTCCCACTCATGAGGGTAGGGGCCCGAATTTGAGGAGAAGGGACAGAGGATTGTCGAGATATAGGAATGCTAGAAAGGTTGAGAAGGTGGTCAGAAGTTACTAGGGTCGACTGACCGGTTTCACCAGGTTGAGAGGGCTCGGGGGCATTCGGTTTGTCCTGTTGTTGATTGGCGACTGAGCTCGGAGACTCGTCCCGGGCCTTGATGAACTGCTCAATCTCCCCATTGACGCTGTCGTAGGACGATACCGAGAAACAACCGACCTCGACCATCTTGTCATAGTCTCTGATCAACATGTTCTGACTGTCCGTGTCTGACATTATCCCTCTAAGAGGGAAGTACGCTTAGAAAAGGTTCTAACCGAGCCTAAGGCGGGAATTTAAATAAAGAAATAGAAAGAGCAGGGAAAGGAGAGCTTTCCGGTTTCCTTTAATCGGAAGTGCTGCGGAAGCTCGTAGGCGAGAAATCCTTGCGTAACTGTGTGCAGCTCGGGAAGCTCTCGAATATTCGCAAGCAAGAAAGCGTGATTTTACTCCGCCTCAACGCTTTATTTATAGGTATGAGAGGCGGGTGAATTTCAAAATATGGAACGAATCCAAACGCTTCACCTATTGCGCGACGTGTGGCAGACAATTAAGTTTGGGCGGTGATCTACGTAGTTCATCAAAGGTCGGCATCACACACGATCTCTGCCTGGTTAAAAGAACCTTAATCTTGATTTGCGTTCGGATTTCGTAGTCCGAGCCCCTCGTCGCGGCATCTTGACTTGGGACACGGCCCAGGGGGGCTACTTGATAGGGAATATACCTTAGTACACTAACCCATATGCTCTGAGGACTCGATTGGATCTGGCTATACGCTTGGTGAGGATTCTTTCCCCACCTGATCATATCCAAGAAGAACACCTGACCGACCCTAACCTAAGACTTAAACAGCCAATTAGCTTAATGAACCTCTACTCTCAGCTTCTATGCTCGGTCCCACATGTAGGATCGGCATAATACTCGAGCCTGTCTACTCAGCCCTCAAAGTTGAACCTCCGCATAAATGCTTAAGCCGAGCCCGCAAGGCATTGGTCCATAAGATACCCATCACGTGTGGACGCCTCCCCTTGGACCCTTGGTCCACCTGGTAGTTTAGTGACACGTGGCTCGCATGACGGCCCCTTGACATGTGTCCCACCAGTATCTGCTATAAATACGTACCGCTCTAGACGCTTGTTTAGTGGACTTTTGGGCAACTTCTATACAACTTCATTTATGTTGGGAACCTCTGGGGCCATAAGCCATTAACCGAACATAAAACCTTAAACCAACAAGTAGACTAGGAAAGGATCGGATCTCTAGACGATTCGACCCTCGTACCTTACGTTCTAGTAGAAATCTCTATATTTACTACATTAGGTTCAAATGCGGATATTGCTTCCCGTGCAATCATGCGGACATGCCACAACCATTGGATGAGATCAAATTAGACGAATAGAAATCAATGTAGATGAGAAAATGTGTGTTTCAGTGGTGCATTTATGAGTGCTCTGTGCGTCTGTAGTGCATTACTTGATGTTTTATGATGTACCACCAAGTGGTTGAAAGTCAACTAAAAGTGAAAAAAACACTGTGGCATTTTTATAAATTTAGACACAATGTATATTTCGGTGGTGCATTAAGTGCTGATGTGTGGTGCGTTTATGAGTGCTATATGGTGCATTGAGTGCTCTATGATGCACCACCAAAAAGGAAAAAAAGTTGTGGGTTCAATAGACCCGTCGAGTAGTACCATTAGACCAACGGGCCTATTGAACCCGTCAATGGGTTTGACACCATATTGAATGGTGCAATACTAAGTGCATTACAAATCAAGTGCACCATGTATCAGTCAAAAATGCACCACATACTAGCATTATTGCACAGCCGAGAATGGTGCAATATTGAGTGTATTATAGATCAAGTACACCATATATCACTCAAAAATACACCAATGCACCGCCAAAATATACATGTTGCATGAAATTACAAAATTACCACTACATATTTTTTCATCTTCATTGATTTTCATATGTTTACTATCAGTTCATCCTACAACTTTGACATGTCCCCACGATCGCACGGGAAAAGAAAGCCATACTAGAGCGTGTATATATAATACTTTTCTTACAAGAGTAATACTACATGTACTCCCACTTTTTATTCCATTTTGTACTCCCTGTTGAAGTGTCATTATTTGATTGGTTTAAATAACAAAGTGGGTCAATGCTTTTCTTCATTCACTTGAATTTATTGATACACGTGGCGGGAGTTTATACTCCATAGGAGTACATATATCATTTTCCTTCTTACAAACACATTAGTGTAATCTTTGTATTGACTTAAGGGTGAATCGAATTGCAAATGTAAAATGAAATAAAGATATTAGGATAAGTAGAAAAATCCCAAAATAAAAAAGGGTGTCGGTGTGGAAGAAAAGAATATTAGAGTATATATATTGGGCAGAGAAAGGAAGGAAGCAAGCAAGCAAGCTCCCAAAAGCCAGATTCCCACTTGCAGTGCTTCCCAAGAATTCAGACCACACTCTACTTTTACTCTCTCTCTCTCTTTCTCTATATTCTTCTTTCATTTCAATTTCTGGAAAAATCAAGAAAATGACTGACAGAGTCCACCCATCATCAGCTACTAAGCCAAATGCCAATGGCGGAGCCCCCGCCGCCGCCGCAGGCGGCGGCGGCGGCGGAAATCCAGCTAAACCCAAGGTTTACAACCCGAACCGCATTCCTTACCGGGCCAGGACGGCTGTGAACCCGAGCCACCTGCAGCCGCGGCGGTTCAGCTGCCGGAGATGCTTTTGCCTCTGTTGCTTCTGGTCCATCCTCCTCCTCTGCATCCTCCTCCTCCTCGCCGCCATCCTCGGCGCCGCCTTCTACGTCCTCTACCGCCCCCACCACCCCGTCTTCTCCGTCTCCTCCCTCAAGATCTCCCAATTCAACCTCACCACCGCCGCCTCCGACGGCACCACCCGCCTCGCCGCCACGCTCAACCTCACCCTCTCCGCCAAGAACCCCGACGCCAAAATGATCTACACCTACGACCCCATCTCCCTCACCGCCTTCTCCGGCGTAACCGTACTCGCCAATGGAACCTTCCCGGGCTTCATCAGCAACCCAAACAACATCACCATCATTCATTCGACGCTGTCAATGCCGACACCGCAGGTGCTCGATTCGGACTCTGTCTCGGGTCTCAAGTCGGACCTGAAGAGGAAAAACGGGCTGCCCATCAAGATCTTGATGGATACTATGGTGCTGGTGAAGCTGGAGAAGATGAAGAGCAAGAAAGTTGGGATCCGAGTCACCTGTGAAGGGATACATGCCCCAATCCCAAAGGGCAGAGCTCCAGGGCTCGGTACAACTTCTCATGCGCGGTGTACCGTTGATCTTAGATTCACTCTCTGGAAATTTTCTTCTAACTAAAAAAAAAAAAAAAAAAAAAAAACTTTAAATTTCCTCATTTATTCACTCTATAAAGGGACTCAGAAGATTGAGGTTTTTGTATTGTAATCACAATTACTACTTCCATAAATTTGTAGAATGTGCATTTCTTGTTTTGTTTTCATCCATAGAAGTATGAAAATTATTTCTTTTTTGACAAATCTGTTGTACCCAAAAAAAAAAAAATTATTTTCTGTGTTATCTTTTCTGCTACACTAGTTTTTCCTTTTACCTGTTATTAATACCTTCAGTAAACATAATTCAATTAATTAATATCGATAAATATGTAAAGTACATTATAAAGAATGGTTTTGATCAAGGCTTGCAAAGTGTGGTTGTTATACGGTGTACCTTGGTTTGAAAACGGAATCGTTTTTTTAAATAAAGATACGACAATCATTAAATTTTAATAAATTCTCGTATTTTTTGTGTTCCGAAAAGAATGAACCACAGTATATCTCAAATGAAACTAAATAACATGTCTTACAGTGTTTATATTATTAAATGATATTTTAGTTGGGTTGAAATTAAATTACAATAGGTATAAATTGAAACTGAATAACATGCCTTACATATTGATTGTATATTGTCAAATAAAATTGTAGTTGAATTTGAATGATACTTTAGTTTTGTTGAAATGAAACTACGTTATATATAAAAAGAAATTGAATAACATATCTCATACATATTGATTGTATATTGTCAAATAAAACTGTAGTTGAATTGAAATAATACTTTAGTTTCGTTGGAATGAAACTACACTAGGTATAAAAACAAACTGAATAACATGTCTCACATATTGAGTGTATATTGTCAAATGAAACTATAGTTATATCAAAATGATACTCCGTACTTTAGTTGTGTTGTAATGAAACTACATTCTATATAAAATGAAAACTAATTAACAGTTTCACATATTTGAGTTTATATTGTCCAATGAAATCATAGTTGAATTATAATTATAATTTAGTGGCATTGTAATAAAACTACAATGTGTATGACATGAAATTCAATAACAAGTCACATTGTAATGAGACTATTGTATGTATAATGTCTAATGAAATAATAGTTGAAACAAAATGAAACTTTTAATTTGTTGTGCTAAAATGAAACTACAATGTATATAAAAATAAATTGAATATGTTATATAAATAGAACTAATTACACGAAAAGGATACCATTTCTTTTCATTCAAAGAAACGACACCGTTTTGGATTATGGTCCACCGTAATATTTGCCGATGTAATGACTGTATCACTTAACTAATTGAATGTGATTGAATTATATGGTGAATTTTATTTTTTTTTGTTAGACCATGAAGTATCTTGAACAGATTCTAACTGTATGAGACACATTTAAGCTCGTATCATACTCAGACTAATTCTCGTTTGCACCGGTCTGGCCCAATTTAGAGGCAACGTGCTAGCCAAATTGACTTCTCCATACTAGAGGGAGTTTGAACTCCCCATTTCTCTTAATGGATGAGAATGCACGGCCACCAACACCAACCAGTTAAACTTTAATTTTTAAACAAATAAAATACGTCACTACTATGTAGTGTGAAGACACATATGTTACCATTTTAAATCGATGGTCAGAAAATTAAAGAGAAAGCATAAATGATTGTCCTTACTAAAATAGAAATAGCAATTTTTTTTGTGGAAGATATTCGTGGGATCCTGGTAAGATACACAGGAAAAAAGCAATAGAGAGGCACCATAAAATTATTGCGTTTTAGCCTCATAAATGTATTAATAAATAAATTGAGGTTGTGATTACCTAGAAAAAATCCATAAAATAACATGCAAATTGCAAACCTTGGATCTCTAACATCATACAACTTTCATATACTTCTTCAGCCCCAATTTATCTGCTTTGCTTACTATTCTAGTAATTGGTTTGCTTAAATTCTACTCTAAATTTCAATAGTTTGATCCAGTTTGGGAGCCATGGCTGAATCTTTTCCTCCAACCAAGCCAGTTCAACAACTAGCTGCAGAAGCCTGCAAGCAAGTCCCAGAAAACTATATTCACACCAAAGATGCTCATATTCAAGCCTCTTGCCCTCTACTGGATCTTCCTTCTATTGATCTTAGCCTTCTCTCATCTTCAAAGGAGCTCACCAAACTCAGATCAACTCTCAGTTCTTGCGGTTGCTTTCAGGTTGAGGTATACACATTGCCATTATTTGGCTTTTCTCCATCTTGGTTTTCTTATCTGCTTATGGGGATTGTTTAACATTCAGGCAATAAACCATGGGATTTCAGATGATTTCCTTGAGAAAGATGGTGAAATCGGCAAAAGCTTCTTTGCTCTTCCAATGGAAGAGAAGCAGAAATATGGCAGAACTGCTGATGATATTGAGGGGTATGGAAATGATTCAATTCTTTCCGAACATCAAATTCTTGATTGGACTGATAGATTGTATCTTACTGTGAGCCCTCAAGAGCAAATAAAGTACAATGTATGGCCTGCAGATCCTGAAAATTTTAGGTTTGTTTTCATTCCATTCTTATCTTTGGCATTGGTGGGCTCTAGGGGTGTAAATGAGTCGAGCGACTCAATCAAAGCTCGATCAACTTCTAGCTTGAATCAGCTCGTTTCCTAATCCAGTGGAGCTCGAGCTCAAATATTTCAGGCTCGTGGCTCATCGAACGGCTTACGAGCCATATATATATATATATATATATATATATATATATATATATATATATATATATATATATATATAGGCTTCGAATCCGGTGCACCCCCTCTAATAGATGAGGCCATGAGGTCTCCTAATATCCATTGATTCAATTTCCATCAATGGTTGAGATTATAAGAGATTAGGGTAGTAATTAAGGACATTTTCCAATGTAAAGGATATATTAGTAATTGTAATTCTAATTTATTTATGGACATAATATTATTGGAATCTGTAGCATTAAATTAGGGAGTTTATGGATGGAAATTAATACTTTGAATTACTATAAAGGCTGATGAGGTGAACTTGGCGTGAACAAGGCTTGAGGAGAAAATGAACGGGTAAGTGCATTTACGTGCCATCGTCTGTGCATACGCTGAATATTGGGGTTTTTTCTGCTGGGATGGTGGGCGGGGTTGGGGGTTGGTGGACGAACTAGAAGTTATGTGATGTGCATAGCGTGTGTGTGTTCAGGTGGGTGCATACACTTCACTAATGGCTTGTAGCAGCACAGGTAGGTGCATATGCGTGTCTAGGCATGTGCGTATGTCGTTTTTCCCCCTCACGTACTGTTGGTGTTGTGTAATCTTGGAGTGAATAAATGACGGTTAACGACTAAGTGGATGCATTATACGGTAAACAAGAGCTGTTAATAAATACTAAAATGGTGCATATGCATCTCCGTGTACTGCTATGTGCGTAGCAGGTGACCAGTCGGTGCATATCGTTGTGGCTGAATAAAGACATGTGTCGTCGGGTGCGTTAGTGAATTCAAGTTACTGCATAGTACTTGTTGGTTTTATTTCTTGGATTTAGATTAGTTTTGTGCTGGCACCCATGTTTGCACGACGTGACAATTGTTTTTTATTTGAAAGTATGCTTAGTGCGTAGTTGTGAATAGGTGAATGCATTACACTGTAAGTAAGAGTTATTATCAAATAATAATACGGTGCATATGCAACTCTGTGCACCGTTAAGTGCGTAGTATGCGACCAGTCTGTGCATAACGCTGAGTCTTATGCATGCATTTATCGGTTTGTGCATTAGGGGATCGAAGTGAGTGCATATTGTTGTTATAGTGCATGCGCTATTCTTCTGTTTTGGGTTAGTTTTCCCCTGGCACACATGTTTGCACGACTGTTAAAAAACTAGAGTGAAAAGAAAAACAACCACAAATTGAAAGTGAAATATGGGATACATATGTAACACGCAATGTCAACGTGAAAATTCATAAACCAAACAAACATCCAAGAACACACAAACGATGCCACTAAAAACATTATCCTTTGGCAAGCATTAAACCGCTTCATCAGTTTAACCAGATGCTTCAGAAAAACGCGAATCTTCAAAGGGGGGAACAATGCCTCATCAACTTCATTAGGCTCAACATCTGAGCCGTCCAACACCGGGGCTGGCTGTGCGGGCTGAGGCGGTCCTTCGGCAGCATCAGTCCGTGGCAAAGGTGCCACCACATCGACAGCAACAACCGGCTCTTCCAAAACAGCGACTACCGGATCAACCGCAAAATCACCTGGGAATGGCAAAAGTAAATCACTGAAACCAAAAAAAAAAAAAAAAAAAAAAAAAAACACCATTACATACAAAATACAACTGCACGACAGCATAGAATTGATAGAAAAGGACATACGCACCAACCAAAGACCTATAGAGCGCACCCACTTAAATGCAAAAAAACATAAAAAAAAACAATCGCGATGCACAAGCCCAAACCCCAAACCCACACACAGAAACTGGACCATGTCCTACAATGCTCCAGCTAACACGTCAGTCTTGGGCGCATAAATTTCACCAATAGTCTACAATGATTGGATACAAAACAGTTAAAACACGCGAGAAGAAAAAAAGGAAAAACTGAATATAAGCACATATGAATTCAGGACGCACAAGCCCCCCGCCAAAAACAAATGACAAACCCCCCCACACAGAAAATGGAATCAAAATGAGGTAGCCAAATAATTCCAAATATAATTTGCACATATCAGAAAAATGCACGTAATATAAAATGCAACCCCTTATAAACAGCAGAATGCACACGCTGGATGCTTTATACGCACATACATTTGTATTTTAGAAATTTTGCATCTCGTGAATGTTAAGAAGAACGCGCATCCAATCACCACCATCACACCAACTACAACTACCCCCCACCCCTGCTGCATCACCCACAAAGCCCTCGTCGTCGACTTCCGGCACCACAGTCATACATTCAGACATTCATCCATCCCCTACTAAACCCCCCATCCCAAGACCCAACTCCCACAAAAAAATTCCTGGAGAAAATAGAGCAAACGACAATGGCGGCGTGCACCAACACCCCGGTCGAAAAAACTCCCCTCCCCGCCACACCAAACCCGTTCCGCTATGCAACAACAACCCCCACCCCCAAACGAAAAATAAATGACACAATCAAACTAAGAAAAAACAGGCATTGAGTAGTAGAAAAATACCTTGACCAACACTGAAAGAACTACCCCTTCGACGCTTTGACCGCTTAACGGAGGACCCAGCCATGGAGAATCGGAAAGTCCGGTCACCGGCGCGACGGAGTTAAAGCTGTTGGGTGACGGAGAAGAAGCTGTTGAGTGACGGAGTTGAAGCTACTTGGCGACGATTCCTCTTCTGCATTTTCTGTGGAGATGAATCGCTTAGATGAATACAATTCTACACAAATACCACCACCACCTATAAGGAAATAGAATATTTAACCATATATTTCACACGGAAAGAAATAAATGCACTGCAAAAATTACATCACTACCCCTAATTATATTCAATACCATCCATTTACCAATAAAACAAACAATAAATCCTAACCGTTAAAATATTAAAATGAATGTTCAGGATCAGTGCTCACGAACTCACCTAATTGGGGGGGTTGCACCGGATTCAAAATCTATGTATATGTATATGTATATGTATATGTACATATATATATATATATATATATATATATATATATATATATATATATATATATATATATATAGACGAACGGCTCGCGAGCCGCTCAGTCAAAGTTCGACTCGAGCTCCAGTCTACCTATTATCAATCGAGCTCGAGTTCCGCTCAACTCGTTTACATTCCTAGGTGGCTCTATTACGAAATCGGAGCATGTGTTTAATTTCAATTAAAAGTCTAAGCTGATAATTGGATTATACATTTATGTTTATATATTATATATGTGTTGGGCGGAGGTCGTAAAATGCCAAGTCCATCAATTGGTGGCTAGGGGATTATTGGGCGGAGGCCGGTAAAGGCCAAGTCTAGCATTCTGCCTCTTGAAAGTGTAATATCAAAAATAAAATTACGCCTTTGTTACGAGATATTGTTTTTGGCGCAGGATATCCTGCTGTTTTTAGCACTTACTGGGATTAGGGGTGACCACGGTTCCGGTTTCGGTTCGGAACCGCCGGTTCCGGTTCCGTGGATGGCAAAACCGTAGTAAGGTTCCGGTTTCGGTTCCGGTTCAGAACCGACGGTTCCGGTTGAAACCGCCGATTTTAACCGAAATTATTAAAAAGAAAATTTAAAAAAACACTATAATATTTAATTTTTTTCGATTTGGAACCGGAACTGCCAGTTCCGGTTCCAAGATTTTACAAACCTTAACGGAACCTTATAGGTTCCGGTTAAGAACCGGAACCGGAACCGTACGAACGGTTCCGGTTTGCACAGTCACGGTTCCGGTTCGAACCGGAACCGTGGTCATCTCTCACTGGGATACCATAAAATATCTTGAATTCCTCTTCTAGTGTGGGAGTAGTTTAAGTTATCCTCTCCTTATCCCACCCCAGAAACCGTCCATCCCTAATCTCCCTTGCCCCTGCTATGTACCGCCACCGCCGCCGAACCAGCAACCCTGTTGCGACGACCTCCGGCATTGAAGCTCAACCCACTGGCAAAAGAGTTCTTTCCTTCTTCCTATGACCGTGATGAGGGAGGGGCGCAACAATTTTTTAACAGCTAATACAACTTTGGGGGCTGATGGCTTCCGAAATAACACAAGGGTAAACTTCAGGTTTGATCGATTTCTTATTTTGTTGGTTGTTGAAATTTAATAACATTATTATGTTTGCTTTGTTTCATGTGTTATAAATTGAATATTTACTAAATGAATATTTAATCGGATTGTCAAATTTGAAACAAAATCAATAGTTAAAGGACCATTTATAATTCAATTAAAAATTGAGAATAAAAATTCGTAAATATCAATAGTCAATGAACCATTTACTGAATTAATTCATAATTTTGACATGATTACTATTTTAAGGTTACGCATAAATTTTTGAGTGTCATGCATAGAAAAAAATAGTCATACATATATATGCACAAATTTCATTAATAAATATCTCATCATTTAAAGTTTTCAACTAAAATTCTACATTTAATTCCATAATTATTGTGATATTATCATATTTAATTTAATTCTTGAATTTCAATTTGCCCACATTTAGTCCAATGACTTTGAGGATATTGCAAGATTTGGTACCCAATTATTATTTTGATCAAATTAGTTTTAATTTTTTAGACAATTTGATGATTTGACAATTTTAATCTGTCATTCCTTTTTTTTTAAAAAAAAAGCTAATAAATTATATAATATAGGAGAAAAAAAAAAACTATTTTTATAGAACAAAATCGACACAAAAAAAAAAAAAAAAAAAAAAAAAGACAAAACTAGCAGATGGTTAAAAACATAGAAATTCAATTGACATTTTAAATATTTAAGTATTATGCCATATATCAAAAAATCGACCTTAGTGAGGATCTCATATCAAAGATCTCAAGTATTTCCATTGTTACAATTTTCAAATTAAAATCTTTGTGCCCATTATTTAATCTTCCTTTACACAATATTATTTCTCCTATAATTATACTTATAGTGAAATTATAAAAGGGGCATTTGGTTCAAGAAAATTTTTAAAGAGAATTTTACATCACTTAAAATTTTTAAAGAATAGATTTCCAAGAATGTGACAAAATAAAAATGAACTATAAATCATTTTCAGGAATACCATGTTACCTAGGCCTCACATTTGTGTGAACCAAATAAAGCTTAGCATGGGGTAACCGCAGCTAAGATGATAATAGATCCACACTTGTAACCACAAAGTCACGAATTCAAATCTTTACCCCCTTGGCTTGAGCCGGTCAGTTATGGATAACCTAAACTAATTTACTTTCTTGTGGTCTTTTACCGGCTAGGGTCACAAAACGAAATTTACTGACACATGTAGACTTCCCTCGTCATAAAAAAAAATAAAAAATAAAAAAAAGCTTAACCCGAACAAATTCAAACACACCCTTTTGATGGGATTTCATTTGTCTAACAGATTATACGAAATGACCTTGTGGTCGAGTGACACGAAGTGACTCTCCCAAATAGAACGTCATGGGTTCGTGTAATATTACATTGTAACATAGTCAGTAGTACTAAAAAAAATAGAATATACGCACGCGTTGATTAATTGTGATATAGAACACTGCATCAGGATGGGAGAAATCCAATATAACATGAATTCAACTTCAGCTTGGATAAACAAACAATTGTTTTTAATTATGTTAACATCCAACTTCAAGAGGTACTTAATTAGAGCAGTAAGCAGATTTAAGTACATTGATGTGTCTAAATCAATGTGCCAAAAAGAAACCAAGATGACACAAAGAAATGATTTTGTTGCAATGGATAATGAAAATTCATGAGTTAGCAATATACCTGAAATGATTAGCAAGAACCAGGCACAATATCCAGACATGTTGGATCATTCCAAGGCTTGAATACTCCTACCAGAGTCACATTCTGCCACAATTCAATCAAAACCAACCTTTCATTAATCAATATTCTGTAGTTCAATAGTTGTGAATTTAAGAATTCATATGGTAAGAAAGTAAATTATATATTAGCCACAAAATTTCTAGGATTGTGGTTGCTATTTAATGCCTTGTTTGCTACTTCTCTATTTTGAAGTTCATTAAGTTAGTTCAACTGTTTTCCAAAAAAAAAAAAAGAAAAAAAAGTTAGTTCAACTAGATCAAATCTTGCGCATTTATTAATGAGAAGTTACTGCATTGTTCAAACAATTATTATTGTGTGGACCATGGTCTACATAGCTGTGTGGATTATACTATTAAATAATGTATATTTATTACACAAATATGTACTTCTAGTATTGTATTCATGGAAAGTACATTATTTGAATACTGAAAGTACACATTATTTTGTATAATGTACATTTAGTACACGAATAATGTACTTTTACTGTTTCAGTATAATAAAAATTTACTTTTTGTTATGGTTCACATAGCAGTATGTGGACCATGGTCCACACAATAATTTGCCTTGATCAAATGGCACAGCTAAAGGAGCCCGAGTAGTGAACCTAAATATATGTCCAACCCAAAAATATCGAAGTAAATTGTTATACCATAAATCAGGGTTCATATTGCATTGTAAACACTGGTTCAAAATTATGTGTCTGGAGCGTTTATGTGTTTGTAGTTATCATGTTATGTGTATGTAATTATCATGTGATGTGCCGTCAATTTGTTTACAAGTACAAAAATTGTCAACTGCATGTACAGAATGTGTCTACTACAGGTACAGAAATGACTAACTGTATGTACAGAATGTGTCAACCGCAAGAACAAAATCTGAAGATTATTTTTAGACCAGGGTCCACAATACAAGATAAACCCTAGTCCATGGTATAATTTGCCTATTGAAGTCTAGCTAATAAACAACACAAGTTGAAATATAAGGGAAAATAGAACATGTTAATAAGAAAATCAGTGCTCAGAGTTGGACTGATAATAAAATATATATGTAAACTTATCACAGAAGGGGAGAACAAGGAGAGGAGAGATTTCATGGAAAAAAGTTAGGAAGCTACTAACTTATTTTGAAACGCTACTTTAGATAGCGTTCTAAAATAAACTCTTATTTTAAGCGACGAATTTATTTTAAGAACATTACCAAACAACACTTATATAGCTTATTAGTAGCTTAAAATAAGCTATAAGCTCTTAAATAAGTGTTTGGAATATGAGAAGTGTTAGAATATGAGCAGCCTACTCTTATTATTATGCTTCTAAGTCTTTGGGGAGTGGAATAGTTTTAGACCTTTTATGTCCCTTCCCAATACTTGTTATCTTCTTATATAATGTCTTGTAATGTGTTGTTCCTTCTAAGATGGAATAACAAGAAGATAGTTCAGGTTCCTTTTAGTTTACTTTTCAACATGGTATCAGAGCCTCCTTTGAAGGACCTGAAAATTTCCAGATGAACTCACCGTGAAAAAAAGTGTTCATCATCACTTTTCTATACTATCTCAAACTAAGAGCTTTATTCACTGATTTGGTGTCACATTCCTTCAAAAGAAGCTCCGGCAACACTGCTCACTCTTTTCCGGTCACGGTGGTTGCCTTTTCCGGCTTTTCCAGCAGCTTTTTTAATGAAAAACCGTTTTGAGTTATTCGCTGTGTTTCAAAAATTCTACAATGAAATTGTGAATCAATTTGGGGTTTCTCTCAAAATCTTACGGAGTGATAATGCAAGAGAGTATTTTTCTGACCATTTCACCTCTTTCTTTTCCTCACATGGAATACTTCATGAATCTTCATGTGCTAGAACTCCTCAACAAAATGGAGTCGCTGAACGAAAAATTCGTCATCTTGTTGAAACAGCTCATACCTTGCTTATTCATAATAAGGTTCCTAAGAATTTCTGGGGGCATGCTATACTTCACTCATGTTATCTCATAAATCGAATGCATTCTTCTGTTTTACAAAGAAATATTCCTCTTCATATCTTGCGCCCACAGGAACCTCTCCATAAGCTCCCGTTGCGAAATTTTGGGTGTACTTGCTTTGTTCATGATACTTCTCCAGGACGTGATAAACTTGATGCCAAGGCAATAAAGTGTGTTTTTCTTGGATATTCTCGCCTCCAAAAAGGCTTTAAATGTTACTGTCCTAAAACACATCGTTTTTATACCTCCTTCGATGTTACATTTTTTGAAACAACACCCTTTTTCTCTTCCAACTCCGTAGAGTCTGATTTCTTAGGGGAACCCATTGAAATCACAGAAGTTCTCCCTGTTCCTAATTTCTCAGAACATGTATCTCCCACTGCTCCTGAAAGGACCATACCTATTCCTGAAAGAATTATACCAACTCTAAACATCCAAGAGGAAGGGAATGTTCCACCATTGTTGTACACCTACCAACGACGCAATCATTAAGATTCCCAAGAGGGTACACACCCAGTTGAGTCATGTCCTACATTACTGTTACCCAATGATACAGTCCAAAACACCACAACACACTCTCACATTGCTAGCCGAGTAGGTAAAAAATCCACTCGAAATCCTTACCCTATCTATAATTTCCTTTCACAGAAACGTCTATCTCCATCATATTGTGCCTTCATTTCTAGTTTGTCAACTGTTTTTGTTCCAAACAATGTCAAGGAGGCATTAACTCATCCAGGGTGGACTCAAGCAATGGTTGATGAAATGGAAGCACTCCATTCTTCTGGGATTTGGGAGTTAGTTTCTGTGGTTGGTTGTAGATGGGTGTATAATGTGAAGGTTGAGCCAGATGGACAGGTTAATAGATTCAAAGCTCAACTTGTTGCTAAAGGGTACACGCAGGTTTTTGGCATTGACTACACGGACACCTTCTCACCGGTAGCCAAGATCACTTCCATCCGCCTCTTACTCTCAATGGCAGCTAATCGCCACTGGCCACTGTATCAGTTGGATATCATGAATGCATTCTTACATGGTGATTTGAATGAGGAAGTATATATGGAGCAGCCCCCTGGATTTGTGGCTAACACAGGAGCTAGTCTTGTTTGTCGTCTTAAACGCTCTCTCTATGGGTTGAAGCAATCTCCATGTGCCTAGTTTGGGAGATTTAGAGATGTGGTTCAACAATTTGGCATGATTCAAAGCAAGGCTGACCACTCTGTCTTCTATAAACATCTATTTGGAAAAAGCATATATCTTGTGGTTTATGTTGATGATATCGTCATTACAGGCAATGATAGTGAAGCAATAAATCAGCTTAAGAAACATTTATTTCAGCATTTCGAGACAAAAGATCTTGGAAAATTGAAGTATTTTCTTGGTATTGAAGTTGCTCAATCCAAACAAGGTATCTATGTGTCTCAACGAAAATATGTTTTGGATATTCTTGAAGAAACAGGAATGACAAATTGCAAACGAGTTGACACACCCATGGATCCAAATGTCAAACTTCTTCCAAGACAGGGGGAGCTCCTATCCAGTCCAAGTAAGTATCGGAGGTTAGTTGGCAAGCTACTGTACTTGACTATCACTCGACCAGATATCTCATTTGTTGTAGGTGTAGTTAGCCAATTTTTGCAAGAACCATGTCAAAGTCATTGGGATGCAGCCATCAGAATATTGAGATATCTGAAAAGATCCCCAGATACAGGATTACTTTATAAAGATCATAGAAATACAGAAATTGTCAGTTACACAGATGTAGATTGGGCTGGATGTCCTTGGGATAGGCGATCGACATCAGGATATTGTGTCCTATTCGGAGGGAATTTGGTTTCTTGGAAAAGCAAGAAACAAGATGTGGTTGCACGATCAAGCGCAGAGACAGAATACCGAGCAATGACATTAGGGATTTGTGAACTAATTTGGGTTAAGCAACTTCTCACAGAACTCAATTTCTGCAAGCTTGGGCCTATGAAACTAGTTTGTGACAATTAGGTAGCTCTACATATTGCCTCCAATCCTATCTACCATGAAGGACCAAACATATCGAGGTTGACTGTCACTTTATACGCGAGAAGGTTGCATCCCGAGTCATTGTTACCACATTTGTTGGGTCAAACGATCAACTCGCTGATGTTCTCACTAAATCTCTTCGTGGACCTAGAATTGAATATATTTGTGGCATGCTGGGAGCTTTTGATTTATACGCTCCAACTTGAGGGGGAGTGTTGGAATATGAGCAGTGTTAGAATATGAGCAGCCTACTCTTATTATTATGCTTTTAAGTCTTTGGAGAGTGGAATAGTTTTAGACCTTTTATGTCCCTTCCCAATACTTGTTATCTTCCTATATAATATCTTGTAATGTGTTGTTCTTTCTAAGATGGAATAACAAGAAGATAGTTCACGTTCCTTTTAGTTTACCTTTCAATAATAAGCTCTGCCAAACAGAGCCCAAGAGTGTGAGGAGGGAAGAAAAGAGATCAAATATTTAATTTGTCTTCAATAATCTGCACCCTGTAGCATTTCCTTCTCATCTACTACTCTCTCCCTCTCTCTCTCATGCTATGAGTTCTTTCCTAGTTTCCTGTGTTCATTATTCTCTAATCAAGCAAACCTACAGGTGAGTTCTTTCCTATGAGATCAAATCTTATTGCTCCATATCATTTACAATACCTATTTTTACTCACAACCCTCTTTTGCAAACTTATTTAACCAAGATCTCTATCGCGAATTACCACCAAAATATAAAAGAAAAAGTTACCTAGTAAATGTCATTTTGAGCAGAAGTATAGGTGTATTTAACGATCAAGGACCCCCAGTCCCCCACTATCCAATACTCTATCTTTATCAGGGGCCCACAATACTAAACTAACATATTCTTTAAATTTAAACCCCAGAAAATATACAGACTTAAATGTTTTTAGGAGAGAGATAGGAGAGACAACATAATGGAACTTGTAAAAACAGGCATGTTTGTTCTACATCATCCTACAAAAAGAACTTCACTAGTTTCCAAATTAAAGTGCAAAAGAAATTATCCCCTCACCTGTAGCCAAAAGAAAAACCCACGCAAAATGTTCAACCTTTTATGTTTGTCTGTCCTCACTTTTTCTAGTATTTTCTTAAGATCTGCATGTTTAAATAGGAAAAATGCATTAACATAAATAAATAAAAATAACTCTCTGGAATGGAGGAGAACTTAATTGAAAAGCTACACCAATTATCTTTGCCAATGCATCTTATTGCATTATGAGCAAAATACACCATGATCTTTTACTATATAAGTTTCTGAAAACTTTTGATCACTAGAACTCTAAGTCCTTTAAAGGACATAGTTCTACTTCTTGCAGTGTAATGATAAGACAACAGAGTACAAACAATACCCAATCTTACTAGGCATGTAAAGCTGGTAAAAGAAATAGTATTGAAAACCAGTACTCACAGCATAAAGAGAAATTATTGTATGGTATGGGTATTGCAACTTTAGAAATAATGAAATAAACCTTACCTTTGTGGTGATCTAAATAAGACTTTCCTTTTCTACTTGTAGGGTATAACGTATCTCTCCCATTACGCAACTCCAAGTGTTTTAGTATTGGCTTTCGAACTTTGACATCTTTCGAAAGCTCTTCATACTCTGATTGATTATATGGCTTCTTGAGAATATCGATGATCTTCTTCCTAAATGGAGATTGCATAGTTTCACCAAGAAGTTCGGAGGTCGCATCTAGCTTCATTTATCAAGAGAAGAAGAATAGCTTACATCAATATTTAAGAATACTTTTGAACAAAAAGGAAAAATACAAAGTTCAAACAAAATGAGGGAGAGAAGGGCATTTAGTAGCAAAAAGGCTGAGTAAAGAGGGAGGTGATATATAAAACATACACTGAGATATTCTGTTGAAGAAATAAAATGGCCGGGGCTTCTTTCCTTGCAAACCATAGCATCATCGTTTTGAATAACTTCGACATCTTCAGAATGATTACATCCATATTCCACAAGTTGATTGCTTTGCCATGCTTTAATAGCATAGTTTTGACATGTCATGTTTTGCAGTAAAGCCCGATAAGCATAATCTATGTCTTCCTCTTCCCAGTCCTTAAGATCATATTCCACATGCTGATTCCCAGGAGAGAGCTCAGGGCTTCTTTCCTTGCAAACCACAGCATAATTGTTTGGAATAGCTTCGACACCTTCAGAATGATTACAACCACGTTCCATATGCCAATTGCCTGAAGATGAAGTTTTAACAGCATAGTTTTCACATGTAATGTTTTGATTCAGAACCAAACAATCTTCTTCTATGTTTTCTTCCTCCCTGTCCTTCTCTGATATTCTCCAGTTTTGAGTACTCCTTTCTTTATGTGATCCACTGTCAATATTATATTCGTAATGACTCTTAGGTACTAGTCTATGCACTGCAGAAACAGTATATGATGTATCTCGTTGTACAATATTATCCAAGAAGGTCATATATTTTGGATCAACATCATTGTCTACAACCACAGACACATCCTTATTCTTTTCTAGAACCATTTTAAAACCATTTGCTCTTTCCACCTTATACTTTCCAGAAACAGTCCCAAAAGCCTTTTCTCTAGCATTGTGCCCTTTCTCAATGTTTTTCACTCTTCTCCTGCACACATCAACAGGATCATCATCACATCCATCCTCTTTTTCGTGATGTAAGAACAAGGGTGACCCATTCTCTTCAAGTGTAGTCGTGTATGATGTACTTCGTTGTGCAGTATTAGCCAAGAAGGTCATATATTTTGGATCAACATCATTCCCCCAACCATTGTCATTGTACCCTTTCTTAATGTTCTTCACTCTTCTCCTGCTAACATCACCACTCTCCACACCAGACCCATCCTCCTTTTCGTAATGTATGAACAAGGGCAAGCCATTCTCTTCAAGTGTAGTCGTGTGTGATGTACCTCGTTTTACAGTATTAGCCAAGAAGGTCATATATTTTGGATCAACATCATTCCCCCCACCATTGTCATTGTACCCTTTCTTAATGTTCTTTGCTCTTCTCCTGCCGACATCACCACGCTCCTCACTAGACCCATCCTCCTTTTCGTAATGTATGAACAAGGGCAAGCCATTCTCTTCAAGTTTAGTCACATATGATGTACCTTTCTGTACAGTATTAGCCAAGAAGGTCATATATTGTGGATCAACAACATTCCCCCCACCATTGTCATTGTACACTTTCTTAATGTTCTTCGCTCTTCTCCTGCTAACATCACCACGCTCCTCACCAGACACATCCTCCTTTTCGTAATGTATGAACAAGGGCAAGCCATTCTCTTCAAGTTTAGTCTCATATGATGTACCTTTCTGTACAGTATTAGCCAAGAAGATCAGATATTGTGGGTCATCATCATCCCCCTCCCCCCTACCATCATCATGCCCTTTCTTAATGTTCTTCACACTACTCCTGCACACATAATCAGACTCATCTCCACACACATTCTCTGTTTCATAATGTAAGAACACGGGTGACCCATTCTCTTCAAGTGTAGTCGTGTATGATGTACCCCGTTGTACAGTACTAGCCAAGAAGATCTTATATTGTGGGTCATCATCATCATCAGGAATAACACTCCAGCCATTTTCTTCTTCTTGAACACAGTAATCTGGAAAATTTTCTCTGCATCCACAAATGTCATCTACAAATTGCAGCTCAATAATCTCAGGAACTCCCTGCTGGCTTGTGTTAATGTCCTTAGGACCTTTGCTATCAGATTCCACCTGCTTCCTCTTTTTGCATCTTGCACCGCACACAGGCATAGGAAGACTTCTCTTTGACCCTAATTTACCTTTGATCTTGAGCTCAGTCTCCATGAAATCGCAGCTCCTACCACCTCTCTCCAAACCCTTACCTTTTACTTCTGCCTTCATTGGTACACAATCATTAGAAATATGATAAACAACTTAAATTATCCACAAATCCCACCTAAAATCTCACCCAAAAAAAAAAAACGCTATCTTGAAATGCTTGCAATATGATAACACACTCAGATCTCCACCAAATCGCCAACGTTTAAAGGCACACCTGAACTATTGAACTAAGGAAAGCGGAAATCAGTTCTAGAAATGGAGAAAACTCAAAATCCTCCCAAAAAATCATGAACCATACGTAACCCTTCCCGCTTAAACTTTGCAAAAAATAAACAAACAAACAAACAAACGAGAACAAAACCAAAATCAAAAAAATTACTAAAATAAACACCCAGCTGAAACATATTTACCTTTGAAACTTTGGAGTAGAGTTCGATCAACCAACAGGCAAAAGAGTGAGTATCTGTTTAAGTTCTGAAGTAGAAATATAGAATTCAAACGGGCTACGCAGAAACGGGACAAAGAGCTTATATCCTAGAATAGTAAAAAGATGCATGGAAACTTATGGGGTAACGTTGCATTTCTAGTTTTGGAAACGTTTCCATCAGGAAAAATAGAAAGGACATATTTATCATTATCTACTTTTTATATTATTTTTCAAATAAGAAAATAAGGAGTTATTTGAAACTTGATTTTTTTTCTTCATTTTAGCTTACAAATAATGCTTTTAAAAGGTGACAATACTATCGATGGGTGCGAGTAAGTATGTGCGTTGGACCGGATCAGTTTGAATATCCAAAAGCTTGAGTGTTATTTTTTGAGTTTTAATTTTGACAATAAGATAATATCCTTAGATGACAATGTGTAAAATAATATTGGCTATCTAACCTCTTGGACTCTAATAAAATTGGTTTGAATATTTTATTGTCGAGTTTGAAACGAGTTCAAGTAGTAGAAAAATTCACATGTTTGATACTCGATTGTGTGTGTATATGAGCATGCGCGTGCATTAAATAGGTTTCAAGGTGATTTCGAATACAATATTGGTAGTGTCAAACGGACTTGGAATGGGTACAAGTAATATTTGTTTATGCTTGAAAATAACTAAATAGGCAAGTGTCTACCTATTGTCGTTTATGACAACATAGGTGGAGTAAAAATATAAAATATTATATGTAATCATGGAGGTGAATATATATAGATAGGTGGTTGGGTCAATTATATGAATAGATAGATAACTGAAGTTTGTATATAACAATAATAAGAGTTAATCACCGAAATCTTTCATTGACTATAGCAAAAATTACCAATTTGGTTATTAACTATTTTTTTTTACCAATTAAGTCCCTCAACTTTAATTTAAAAATCTTAACTAATTTAGTCCTCCGTTTATTTTGCCGTTAGACATTTATTAACTTGGGACCAAATTGGTAATTTCGTTATAGTCAAGGGACCGACCATTTTAGTAATTAACTTTAAGGGTGTCAATTCGGTTTGGTAATATACCGAACAACCGAACGGTAATGGATTCTTGTATATCGAACGGTTCGGTAAAAAATTGAACCGAACCGAATACTGTTTGATTTTTTTAAAAAAATATAATAATAATAATAATAATAATAATAATAATAATAATAATAATAATAATAATAATAATAATAATAATAATAATAATAGGGTGATTGGGACATGACCAACTTGGGACAATATGGTGGTGGTGGTGGTGGTAGTAGTGTGGTCTTGTGGTGGTGGTGGTGGTAGTGAGGTGATGGTGGTATGGTGTTGATGGTGGTAATGGAGGTGGTGTGATGCTGGTGTAAAAGTTAAAAATGACTTCCCAAATAAAAGGAAGTCATTTTCCTCCAAAACAAGCCTATTTTTCAAAATCAACAAAAATAAATTCCGTTAACTTAATTTTTCAAGCACATCCAAACACTGAAAACTTAAAAATTTTCAAGTTTCCAAACACACCCTTAGTGCCTCATAGGACTTCTCTAACATACCAATAACTTTTCAAGACTCAATAAAGAATCATAGCATCAAGAGCACATGCAGGCAAATTATGATGTGCATCCGTATGCACCTTGCATGGTGCATACGGATGCAAAAACGACGTCGTTTTGCATAAAACGCGCGCCCTACTTAAAAAAAAAAAAAATTAGTTTCGATTCTCAGCAACAACATTATGTTATTCATTTTTAGTTCATTCATTTTGGATTTTTTAGTTATGAAATTCTGGAAGTGTAGTTATGCAATTCTGGAAGTGGAGTTATGCAATTCTGGATGTGTAGTTATAAAGTTATGGATGTGTAGCTATGCAATTCTGGAATTATAGTTATGCAATTCTGGATGTGTAGTTATGCAATTCTGATTTTTTTTTTTTTAAAGTTAGACGCCAAAACGACGTCGTATTTGCATCTGTATGCACCATGCAGCATAATGCTCTGCACATGCATCCTGAAAATTTGATCAGTAAAAAACCAAAAAGATCCTCCACATAAAGCCAAAAAGGCAACAAAGTAGTCTATTTAAGAGTTAATTATCGAAATGGTCCCTTGATTATAGTGAAATTACCAATTTGATCCTTGACTATTTTTTTTAACCAATTAAGTCCCTCAACTTTAAAAATCTTAACCAATTTGGTTCTCCATTTGTTTGACCGTTAGTCAACCGTTGACTTGGGACCAAATTGGTAATTCGCTATAGTCAAGGGACCATTTTGGTAATTAACTTTAAGGGTCGGCAATTCGGTTCAGTTTTCTCGAACCGTACCGTACCAAACTAGTTAGATTCGGTAATATACCGAACAACCGAACGGTAATAGATTTTGTATACCGTACCGAATGGTTCGGTAAAAACTCAAACCGAACTGAATTGTTTGGTAAAAACCGAATCGAACTGAATACCGTTTGAACTTTGTATTGCTATTTTGTTATATATTAGACTTTGATATTGACTATGTAAACACCATAACACATAATATAGAACTTTTGATAACAAACCATAAAGAAATCAAATAAAACATTTACGAGAGATACCCGTGAGAATATGAGCTGAACGGCAGAGCAAGCAGCAAGGGACTTGGATTTACTTTTTATTTATTTATTTATTATTATTATTATTATATTTTTAAAAAAAATCAAACGGTATTCGGTTCAGTTCAACTTTTTACCGAACAATTCGGGATTGGTTTTTTATCGAACCGTTCGGTATACAAGAATCCAATACCGTTCGGTTGTTTGGTATATTACCGAACCAAACTAGTTTAGTTCGGTACGATTCGATTTGAGAAAACTAAACCGAATTGCCCACCCCTAAAGGTAATTACCAAAATGATCTCTTGACTATAGCGAAATTACTAATTTGGTCCCAAGTTAATGGTTGACTCACGGTCAAACTAACGGAGGACCAATTTGGTTAAAAATTTTAAAGTTGAGGGACTTAATTAGTTAAAAAAAATAGTCAAGGATCAAATTAGTAATTTTGCTATAGTCAAGGGACCATTTTGGTAATTAACTCTTTATTTTTTTTTTGAAAGTAATTAACTCTTTATTTAATTTAGAGTTAATTCTGGAAATTATTTGATAATTTTTACCTTTTATCCTTTAACTTTTTTTTTTTTTTTGAAAACATCCTTTAACTTTTAATTTCATCATAATTGTTTTTCAGGTTATCATTTTTTTTCTTAAATTTGGTCGCACATTAATAAATATGTTTGGGAGGTGTCAATTATGTTTGGTAACAGGTTGCTAAATTTGTTCGATTGACTTTTTAATAATTGAATTGGTAACCTGTTAGCAACCTGCAAAAAAGTCAACCAAACAAATTTAGCTGGTAGATGGACTTATTTGACACTTAATTTAGTTCGTGGTGAGAATTTACCATTTCATAGTAGTAAATGGACCTATTCGACACTTATACCTCTTTTTAATATAAATATTACATTTTTTTTTTATAGATTTCACACAAGTGTGACACTAAAATTAATTTGTAAAACATAATAAATTAAGATATCTATTTCATACAACAAAAAATTTCCAAACTAACCAAAGGTTAATGGTTCGATCATGGGCTTTGGGAATGGAGCAGCTTTAAATCTTCAGGCCAGCTGTTTCACCCAAAAGAGGTGCCTACAATTCAGAAAGGGAATTAGTCACTGTGTGATGGTGAAAACCCGGGGTATACCCCAAAAAATATTCCAAACTAAACTCCACAAAAAAATGAAAAAATTAAGTATATAAAAATGACGTTTAAACATTATAGTGCATACTTATTCTAGAAATTTTGAATTATTGAGATGTGTGGTAAGTCTATAACCAAAGTCAAAAAATGGATGCTTTGAAAAACTATATAATAAGAGCCGGAGGCTGGGCTTGAGTTTATCCCAACCAGCCCCAAATAAACAGTTGATTCTGCAGAGATAAGGTCTGGGAAGAAGAAGAAGAAGAAGAAGAAGATGGAGTTGTTAGGAATAAGAGTTGAAGAATTCAAGATTATTTATACCATTTTGGGTATATTGGTTGGAGGTCTGGTGTATTTGTATAGACCATACTGGGTTGTGAGAAAAGTCCCTGGCCCTCCAGTTCTGCCCCTTGTAGGACACCTTCCCTTGCTGGCTAAGTATGGCCCTGACGTTTTCACTGTCCTCGCCAAACGATACGGCCCTGTCTTCAGGTAATGCTAATAATCTCAATATTTGAGTGTGTATATACACTTGTAAGTGCTGAAGTTTATATATATATTTGTGTGATCGGATAAGGTTTCATATGGGGAGGCAACCACTGGTGATCATAGCAAACGCAGAGCTTTGTAGAGAAGTTGGGATCAAGAAATTCAAAGATTTTCGTAACAGAAGCACTCCATCACCTGTCTCTGCATCCCCTCTGCATCTCAAAGGCCTGTTCTGGACAAGGTCAGGTCAACCAGTAAACTCTCATCTTCAACTTTTTTTTTTTTTTTTTGTTAATACGTTAGGGGAGGCCCGTGAAAGGTCAAGTCCAATAATTGGTGACTAAGGGATTATTAGGCGGAAGCCAATCGTATACCGTGCACCAGGGCACACATAGCAAGGAGCCCACCACCCCACCCCACCTTTTATATATACTATAGATCGATCATTGGTATAAGTATTTAATAATATACATTATATTTAGAATTTTAAAGTATGAGTTAGCTTGGTTGAAAGGTGTTATGGAACTTATGTGAAAGATCACTAAGTCAAACTCTCATGTATACATTTACATTATGTTTTTCCTCCCTACTTTTAAGAAGATGAATTTAGTGATAGTATTATATAATATTAAAATTCTAACTTATGGAATTTATTTCTATTTCTAATTGTATTTTTTGATTTAATTTATAACTTTGTGATTTTTTTTTTTTACCTTTTTATAATTTTAGTGAGATTTATAATATAGATTATTTATGATTCATATCAAATTTTGAATATATTAATTACTATTCGAGTAATTTACTACTTATACTTAGAACATGTGTTATTTTATGAACTTTATAATGAGTTATGCATATGTAATACTTGTATATATTTTGTGATGATTTAGTTATGAAAAATGTTTTGAAGATAGTTTTTTTTTTTTTTTTTTTTTTTTTTTTTTTTTTTTTTTTATGAATTATTTAGTCAATGTAGTTTAGAAGTTCTATTGGTGCGTCATCGTATATAGAAATTGATCTAACTAGAAGAAAATATATTTATGAGATCAATAGAGAAGATGTATGATGTAAAATATGTTTTCTATTCGAACTATTTTATCTAATTAATTATGTTTCATATTTTTTTTATGAATATATTCATCACATTTTAAAGTGTTTTGCTTTATTGCTCTCAATAATTAATATTTCATGCTCTACTATTAATTGTAAGTTTTGTTTTATAATTTTTATTAATAACTAATTTATTATTTATTTTAATAACAATGTAAATGTCTATAAGTTTATATGGTTTTATATTATATTGTTTATTCGTTTTTATAAACTATAATTCTTTATTTATAATAAAGACATTGATTCAATTATTGATTATTTTGAATTTATAAAAGCATCTAAAATTATTTTCATGATTATTATTTTGTATTTAAAATTATTAAAAACTTGTAAATCTTATTTCAAGTTATTTGGCATTAGCAATTTTTTTCATTATTTAATTTAATTTTAGTTATGAAAATATATATTAATTTCATGTAGGACCCATCTTTGTTGCTACCCGGCCTACAAAATGATAGGACCGGGCCTGCTCGTGACATAAGGTGGAATCGCTATCCCATGCCCCTACATTCCGACCAACAGAGGCTAAATTTTGTTCACTGCACACAAAGAGCCTCACTCATTCTGATCGAGAGGTTGCTTCCACATTGTATCCTTGGCCTCTTGTGAAAAATTTAAGGCCATGGCAAGTCTAGGTCATGGATTCAGGGGCTAGGCTAGGGCAAAGACCGGTGAAGGACCAGATTATGGGTTTGGGAGCTAGGACGAGTCCGATAAGTGCTTGATCCTAACATCATTTGTACTTACATTTGGGAATGACTTTGCAGGGATGGAAGATGGTCAACGATGAGAAACAGTATAGTGTCATTCTACCAGCCATCTCACCTGGCTGAGCAGCTTCCTACAATGCAATCCCTTATAGAATCTGCAACTAGGAATCTTGATTCCAAAGGGGACTTGAACTTCTCTGATCTTTCCCTCAAATTAGCCACAGATGTTATTGGGCAGGCTGCTTTTGGGGTTGACTTTGGGCTGTCTAAACCCAAAGTGCACAAACTTGACAGTGGAGTTGAAGAATTCATCAATCAACACATCTACTCCACAACACAGCTCAAAATGGACACATCAGGCTCCTTCTCCATCATCTTGGGCTGGCTTGTTCCAATCTTGATGGAACCGTTTCGCCAAATACTCAAGAGGATACCCGGCACGATGGACTGGAAAATAGAGAGAACCAACAAGAATTTGAGCAGACGCCTGGACGATATTGTAGCGAAGAGAATGGAAGAAAAGGAGAGTGGCTCTAAAGACTTCTTGACCCTTATTCTCAGTGCACTGGAGTCTAAGAGAGTGTCAAAGAATATATTTACCATGGACTACATTAGTGCTCTAACTTTTGAGCATTTGCTGGCTGGATCAGCAACAACATCCTTCACACTCTCTTCCATTATCTATCTGGTTGCTAGCCACCCGCGAGTCGAAAAGAAGTTGGTTGAAGAGATAGATGGGTTTGGCCCTGATGATTTGGTTCCCAGTGCCCATGATCTTCAAACAAAATTTCCCTATACTGATCAGGCAAATTGAATCTTCTCCCATTTTCTGCAACTATTTTAGTAAATTACAAGTGTTTATGTTTTAAAACTCTTCCTCGGCTGCAGGTAATCAAAGAAGCAATGAGAGTTTACACACTTGCCCCATTGATTGCTAGAGAAACATCAGCTCCGGTGGAGATTGGAGGATACAGCCTCCCAAAGGTAGATATTTAGCATATATAACATTTGAAATATGATTGTGAATTTGTGATACATATATTGGAGATGGGCCCAGAACAAATCGACCCGAGGAGGCTGGCAAAGTCGACCCGGGATAGGCAAACCTCATAGTCACCTCTGGTGCTCCAAAGCCAACCCGTAGTCGGCCCCGGGGTCCCAAAGCCGACCCCATAGTCCGTTTTGGGGCTCCAAAGCCGATCACGATGTCGGCCTCGGATAATTCGACCCGAGCCCAAGAGGTTGGGTCGAGCAGGGTCCATGGGCTAGGCCGAGGCAATCGAGGGCCTGGTCAAGCGGGACCACAACCACCCGCTCCGAGCGGGGGCACTCGATTCACATGGAGGTTACAAGAGAGCAGGGTCGTTCCATTAAAAATATGGGTCATGTCTAATAGATTAATTTGGACCTTCATGAATTTTGTTTCGAGATGCAATCTAAATATAATAGAGAAAAACTCCAATATATAATATAATAGAGTAAAACGAAAAGACAAAGACAATAATAGATAGATTCTGTAACATTTAGATTTTGTTATTATGATACATAAAGATCTCTATTTATAAAGGTAAATAACATAATCCCGAGTCCCAACAGATCTAAAGATAGAAGTCTAGAAGATCTAGAAAATCTCTATATAACTGAGATAGTTGAGTCCAAATCCATTTGGACTCCAAGTTATTGGATCTATGACAAATAAAAATGTAATAATTTTTTTTTATCTAAATATAATGCATTAAAAATCACCAAAGGAAAAATACAATTCAAAATTAATTTAAAAGTGACATTTTTTTGTGCATATTTAAATTCAAAATTATTCACCAAAATTTCGATGTCAATTCCTTCTAACATTTTATTTTCAATTACAATTAAGACCGATCTATGAATTCAAAATAATAATAATAATAATTATCAAGTATAAAAATAATGTATTATATATAAAATATTTTTAAAAAAAAATTAAGGACCCTATGCTGTCGCTCGGGCCGCAAATGGTTAGGACCGGCCCTGCGGGGGAGGCCAAGTACAAAACAAGCTCTTTTGTTCCCATTAGACACAACTTGTCTTAACATTACATCTCTTGTGCTCTCATTACACAAGCAATACGATAATGCAAGGATACTTTGTCCCTTTCGAGTGTTACATTGCCTCTATATTCCACTTATCTTTAATTAATCGAATTTAGTTAATCCGTCTCCCGAGTTTATTAATTCCATCAGAATGTGTAGTTTATATTGATGCACATTTAGCATTACAAATTAAAAGGGTTGTTACATTTACGAATGAGCAGGGGACATGGGTTTGGCTAGCTAATGGAGTTTTGGCTAAAGATCCGATCAACTTTCCTGAACCGGAAAAGTTCAGACCAGAGAGGTTTGATCCAAACTGCGAAGAACAAAAACGGAGGCATCCTTATGCACACATTCCTTTCGGAATAGGGCCTAGAGCATGCATAGGAGAGAAGTTTTCCCTGCAGGAAACCAAACTCACACTAATACATTTATATAGGAACTACACATTTCGACACTCCCCTCTAATGGAGAATCCTCCGGAGATTGAGTATGGCATAATTCTCAACTTCAAGCATGGTGTCAAGATTCAAGCCATCCCACGTTCATGAACCCACACTTAGCTTCCACCTCCAATATGTTTGTGCTACTTTTGTTCAATGAATATATTTTTGCTTTTAAATTTTCTCACTTAAATTTATGTGATTTGTGTTTTTCTTTCTCGTGTTAAAATAAAATGCAATTTAGGTTGTTTCAGTCTAATTATGATTATTTATGAAAGATGCATTCATAAGAATTTAATTATTGTAGCTAAATTTTTGTTTCACACTTCATTTAAAACTTAGAATTGAAATTCCGAACTTTTTTTTTTTGAAAATAAAAGGTTAATTCATTAATCATAAACAGAAATGTTTACAATACAGATCATTAGAATGACAGTGCATTCTTTACAGTCAGACATAGAAACAAATTTCCTAAAAACGTTATAGAAAACTTGGATCGCGGGCTGTTTTATAAATTTGAAGTCGAATTTGTTGAATGAACTCGGTGCTTCTTCACAGATCTGGTCAAACATAGCCAAGTATGACTTTGATGTGACCATTTTATCATTCCACGCTTATGATAAGAACTCGCCAAAGAAACGAGAGGAAAACTCGTCAAAGAAACGAGAGGGAAACACTCGCCAGAAAGACGAGAGAAAACAAACTAGTCAAAGGAACAAAGGGATAACATAGAACCAAACGATAACAAAATAAATGGAAAAGATGATAGAAAACCTGTCAGATCTGGAGAGTCTCTGACGCCTTCTTTGAAAAAACAATTGGAGATAATCTAAGATCTAACGCTTATTCCTAAAACAACCAGAGGATGGAGTCTACTAATGGCACCGCCGGCTCAACCCTCCATTAGAGCGTTAGCCGGAGGATGGAGTTGCAGGGTCTTTACAGATGAAAAAAGGAGAGAAAGCAGTGTTTTTTTGAAATCTATGTAGCCGGTAAGAATGCATTATAATTAGCATGAAATCTTGTGAGAACAACTGCAGGTAATTAAAAAGTAAAAAATGTGAATTGGTTTTAGTTGTTCATCTAGAGAAGATCAACGCCATTAATTAATAGAATTTGAAAAAAAAAATGTGATGACATTTTTATAAATATTTTAAGCTTTGAAAGTGTACCATGCACATTTAAGTGAGAACTAACGTCTAGGAGAGAACTGAGAACGAATCCTATATCTCGAACCAACCTTATCTGTGGATTTGGGAAGATGATCTAGAAAGATGAATGGCTTTGGATTAAGAAAAAATGCGGTGTCATTTTGATTTTATCTCAATCTTTGAGTGCACTCTACAAGACTGCCACGGCGTTCCGCACGACTTTCCGGAAAATTAATAGGCTGGAGAGTTTACGGCGTGGTGTTCTTGGGATCTTTCTCTAATAAAAAAGGGGTGTTTACGCGACAAAAGCCTGATGGAGAGGTATTAGAATGCTGATTGACATTTTTGCCCCTCAAAGTAATGATAATTGGATGGTTTTTGTAACGGAGTATCAAATTGAGTCGATTTTACAAGTTAGAGAAGTAAATTGGATAATTTACAAAGTCTGGGACTAAATTACGTAATACTTAATGATCGAAGGACCAAAATTTATAAGCTGCAAGTATACAAACTTAATAATATTTTCCTACAAATTAAACTTATTATCCACTACCTTTCTAAGTTTTGATTGAGTCTTATTTGAGCTCAAAATGTTATATACACATTCTCAATCTTCTAGTAAGTGGTTAATTAGTATACACTACTAGTCTAGATGAGTGACAAAGTAAAAAAGTGTAAACATTTGGATGTGTAAGAGGCTGATTGTCGCAACACTAAATGTAGCTATGGTTTATAGCGGCAACCTTGGAAACAAAAAGGGTGATGAATATGTTGTACTCTATGCTACAAAGGGGTGAATGTCGTAGATTTGAATTGCTATCACTTGCGAGTGATGAGCATGAAAGGGACCTAGAGACTAGGAGTCAGTATCTTGTCTCACCCTTAGCTACGAGAAGGGTTTGTGTTTGTAGAAGTAGTACGTGCTATCACTTGTGAGTGATGAGTGCGACGGTGCCGGTGCCCACCAAGATTTTAAAGCGACCTGGAGAGTGGAATTGTAAATTCTAAAGGAGGTGCCCTTAAGTAGTGGAGTAGGCTCGACCGAACCACTATAAAATTGGTGTATTTCTTTCGTTACTCTTTATCTTCCGAACGCATTCAATTATGTATATTTACATAATAATCACATATACTTAAGGGATATATATCACCACTTAGAATAAATCATCACAAAAATTTTATAGCCTAATTCAACCACCCCCTCCCAAACCTCTTAGGTTAAATAAGGACTTTCAATAACAGTAACAACAACAACAACGACAACAACAACAACAATAATAATAATAATAATAATAATAATAATAATAATAATAATAATAATAAGGGAAAATGACATTTTTCCCCCTGAGTTATATACTTATAGCACTTTTCCCCCCTGAATTATTTAAGTGGCTCTTTTCTCCCCTAAAATGTTAAATTGACATATTTACCCTTAAAATAAATAATTAAAATAAATATTTCATTTATTTTTCTTCTCCAACAAATTATTACTATAATTTGGTTCAAACCAAACAGATACTATAGCAACCAAACCAAAATATTCCAATTACAATTTAGAATCAAAACGCGATATTTAGAGTTTATTAAAATCGCAAATCGAAATGGCTGATTCATGTTCCGAACTGAAAAAATAAAATACATTTATTGTTGAATTTAGATTATTTTAAAATAAAAAATAAAATAAAATTTAAAATAAAGACGGTTCAAAATCGCGAACCGGATCCAGAACCGCCGGTTCACGGTTCATGATCCAGTTTTTTTGGTTCATAAATTTAATAAATTGAAATCTAAATATTGGATTCTAGATCTGAATCATAACCGAAAACTTTTAATTCGATTGCTATAGTGTCCGGTTCAGTTCGAACCGAACCGTGGTCATTGCTACATATACACAATAATTTGTTGGAGAAGTAAAATAAATAAAATGTTTACTTTATGGGTAGAAATGTCAATTTAATATATCAGGGGGAAAAATCACCACTTTTAAAATAATTGAGGGGGCTAATGTGCTTACATAAATAATTGAGGGAGAAAAAGTGCTATAAGTATATAACTTAGGGGAAAAAAGTGTCATTTTCCCTAATAATAATGTAAAAGGATCGGGTTAGTATTTTTTAATTAAATAATATTTATTTAGTTTATTAATATGTAAATATTATAATTAAATTATTAGTGATTACAACAAAAAGAAGTTAATTATAAGTCAAACTTTATTTTAATGACATGACGTTATTTAGTGTATGATCAAATAATTGTATATAAATGCTATATTTTCATCTACTATCTACTATACTAATAAGAGCCCAAGAGAGTTAGGCCTATAATGGATAGAAAAAATGGCAGTCAATTCTTTTAATCAAATGAATGGTTCAGATTGATCAGATTTTAATTTTTCCTTTAAGATTTACTAATTCATCCTTAATGAATATAATTATCCGTTAACTTTTCCGTTAAATATTATCTTTTTCGTTAATTTCTGTTAGTTCACCGTTAAGTTACTCATTGATTTCAATAAGAAAGGTCTTAAGTTCGAACCCCATCCCAATCAAAGTTGGCATAATTAGTACTCTATTTTACTCTTATTAAATTACTAGTAATCACACGCGCAATGCGCGATTAAACCAATGCCCAATGTATATTTTTAAATTAGTGTTTCTTAATTCGTAAAAGTACTCATATAATAATGAGAGAGAAAAAAATGTTAAAATCTTTTATATATTTTAATAAAAAATAAAAGATAAAGAAATTGGAAATAACAAAAATAAATAAACCACTGACTAAAGTTGATTGTCTATCATGACCAACTTGGGAGAAAAGAGTTGGATAAAGAGTACTAATCTGACAAGATAGGAATTAAATTTTCTTAATGCGCTTTTGCTAATCCAGAGTTCGGGTATGATCACTGTAACAAGTCTCTCTATCCTTGTTTCAACTTTCAAATGAGCTATCAAGACCAGCAGGCCTTGCTGAACCCCCTGCACTAATGCAACAATATCATCACCACCCAGCAGCTATGAATAAGGGTAATCATAATTTGCTGATATTTGGGGGAAGTGAGGTCAGTGGGTCCTCATCATTTGATGGGAGTTGCAGCCAAATCAACTATGAGAGATCAAAAATTGCAGACCATGTCAAGCAAGAACCTACAGATCATCAACTCTTGGGAAAATACAGTTTTCAAGGCGATCCTCATCATCATCATGAGATCATTTCTTCAACCAATGCTGGGTTCAAAGATGAAAACCAGATTCAAGGCAACTTAGCATTTCAAATAATTGAGGTTTCAGGAAATTTACGATATGGAACAAGATCAAAAGCTTAAGAAGGCATTACCTTTCTTTAAATCTGTTGTCTAGCATGTGAATTGAAAAGCTTCATGAACTCCTTCACTTCCAAGCCACCTAAATCCTGAACATTTCAGTATTCCTCTTATCGAACAGTAATTACCCATTTAGCTTAAAGTAAATCATCTATCAACCTTTCCCAAAGCATTGGATTTAACACATACGCCCCCGACTATCTGGATTTAATTTGAAGAGCTCATTCAAAGCTAAATTAGCCATTTTAACATCACATGCAGTCTGCAAAACTAAGCAAAGGTGCAAAACATAGAATTTGCCTTACATCAATTGCGCAGTGAATGCCATATCTTCTTTATACACTATTTTCTTAAATACATCCTCTATACAGCCATGGTTCATGTTCATTTAACCTATGGTCATTGAAGAAGAGCAAACCCCATTCAAGCCCAATCAAATTATGTGAACATAACAAATATGGAAGTAACTACAATTTAAGGTTGCAATTATCCTTATACACAATAATTTGGATATGCAAAAAATTATCATAAATGAGAATACAATTGTGAATTTTGATCTTTCTACATTAACAAAAAATAAATATAACAAATAGATGTAAAAATTAGGGAAAATTGTAAAAAATGCCCCTCTATAATATGCCAATTATCAATGTCACCCCTGAATTATGAGTGGTGTAAATGTTGCCCCTCAATTATCAAAACGGTGCACATATAGCCCCTCTCGTAACGGACATGTGGTTCTCTGTTAGTGTACGACACTGTTAAGTCGAAGTAAATATGTAATTTAGTTGTTTTTTCCCTCCCTCGATTCGAAGTACCAACGATGGATAGCGGTGGGGAACCACAGGTCCATTACGGGAGGGGCTATATGTGCACCATTTTGATAATCGAAGGGTAACATTTACACCACTCATAATCCAGAGATGACATTGATAATTGGCATATTATAGAGGGGCATTTTTTACAATTTTTCCTAAAAATTATGGGGTCGTTTACTTCATTTCTCTATTTTTCCATTTCCAGTTTTCCATTCTTCCATTTCTCCAGTTTTCTTTCTCCATTCTTCCAGTTTTTCATTTTTCCATTCCTCTAATTTTTTATTTTTCTGATTTTCTATTCTATTAAAAACAATCATCCATATAGTATTTGTATATTTCTACAACAAAGATAATAATAATAATAATAATATAATAATAATAATATAATAATTTAATAATAATAATAGTAATAATGATAATAATAATAAGAATAGTAATAATTTAATAATAATAATAGTAATAATTTAATAATAACAACAACAAATTCGTGTATATAAGTAAGAGGAAAATGAAAAAGATAATAATAATAATAATAATAATAATAATAATAATAATAATAATAATAATTTATTTTACAAATTTAATTTTTTAATAATGATGGTTTTTGGGTTTTCGGGCCCAAGGAGGTCCAACACAACCTTAAGCTGGAGGATACACCTTTCACAAAAGGGTTTGAGTCTTAGTAAAATATGATGCTTAATAGTACTTGTCTATTCCCTCTCCGGGTTCTTGAATCTGCCTCACACAAGGGTGGAGGAGCCCTCTTTATAGTGGCTCCTCCTCTACTGACTTAAAGGCTCATGATGGCCGACTTAAAGATTACATTCAATGTGCCGAGCCGTTGGGCGACGTTACGGACTCTGCCAACGGCTCTCTTTGGCTAGTAACTGGCGGACCGAGTCCGGCCTTTAATGCCTCAACGGCTCCTTGTCTTAACTGCTTTGAAGGCTCCCTCAACGGCTCTCTGGACCGAGTCCTCTCCTGGGCCGGGCCTGGGCCGACTCCTCGTCCTCGTTTGGCATTGGGCCGTCCTTCCGGTCTCTGAACTGGGCCTCCCTCTTTGGACCTGGGCCGAGTCCTGGACTCGGCCCATGCATTCTATCTGGGCCTCTTTTCTTGGGCCGGGGTTCTCACCCCATCAACTAGTCCCTCACTTTTCCATACCCGGTCTACCAACCTGGGTTTGGAAAAGTAGTAACCATCTCCTGCTCACCGAATCCGTGCCTTGAATGACTCAGGATTGGCCCAGATTATTCGCTATCTCCCGGATCTCGCGGGACCGTTCTGATCTCCTCGGCCCGGCCTGGCACCTATAAATGACCTTGGCCGTTCTTCTCTTAACTTACTAATTCCTCATGGGTCGCTCACCACTGAAAGGGAAGCAGATTGATTTTGGGTCGCCCCGACGCCCTTTGCCTTCGAAACGGACTCGGCCTGAGAGGGAGCCTAAAAGGAAGGCTCCCCGTCCGACTCCACAGAGATCACCTGCTGGTGCTGCCTCCATGGCTCTTCATCCGCCGACTCCTGCTCGTCGTGAAGTCGCTCCGACTTTTCGCCCTTCTCCTCCTCCGGGGTCTGCTCGAGTAACTTCCCCAGGCGGGACCGTTGTTGACGTGCCTGTCCCAGAGCAGCTGACCTTTCGTATGACCTTTTCTATTCCTCTGGATGACTTGGACGGTCCGGTTACCGGGCTAATGAATGAGGAAGACTTTGCTCGTTATCAGGAGATGTACCCGGACGATGAAGAGCTGGTTGTGCCGCCACTCATGCCGGCGTTCTGGGACTCGCTTTGCCCACCCTCTCCTGGTCCATCGGGAGGGTTCTTTGGAAGCGGCTCCTCCTCGCCGAGTGAGTGATCTTTGTGAACTGGGGTCGGCCGGATTCTCTAGAGGGGTAGTTCTGTTAGGAGCACTCGCTTACTCTGTAATAAGCTCCTTGTAACCTGCACCTTCTTTATTTTATAATAAAATATTTTCGGCCTTCCGTTTTCATCTTTTTCCGTATATTTAGTGCACTCGTCCGTCTCAATTGTCGAGGAGGCAGCTGCGATGTCGAGTCCTCCTTCCGCTTGACACCTGTAAATCTCGCTTCCCAGGGCGAGCCAGGCTTTTTTTCAGTTTAGCGTGCGAATCTCACCCTTCCCGAGCTAATTGGATGGGATTAATCTCTGACAGAGATTCACGCCGCCCATCCAATCCGGCTCAGTTATGTCAGTTACGATTCCCTCCGTGATTTGCGCCTCGGTCGTTGCTCTCTCGAGGCTCTATATAAGGGTTTTTGGTAGCTCTGTGCTTTCTCATCATTTTACACCTCAAAACCTCAAGCTATGAGTTTCAGGGACGGTGATCGCCGTTGGTCCATTCGTAATAAGGAGCATGCCCGGCAGGAGGAGCTCCGGCGGAAGAGGGCGGCTAGCGGAGGGTACCTGGTGGGCGACTCCGCTTCTGATCCCATCGTGGTGCCTCCTGACATGCTTGATCCGATGGTCGTGGAACCGGAGGAGGACGAGATGGTGCCCATGGTAGAAGATCCAGAGCCAGAGGGGGACCTAGACTGGGAGGCTCCTCCGCTTTTTGGCGTGGCCATGTCACCGAGTGTTCTGGAGAGGCCCCTGCAGATGGTCGTAGATGGGAAGCCTGCTGTGTATCTGGATGAACTGCCCGAGCCCGAGCCTGAGCCGAGTCCGTTGCCTTTCCGCCCCCACTACTATTTGGAGGGTCCGGAGCCGGTGCGTCACGCGGAGGAGGAGGAAGTTAAGCCCTAGGCCTGTCTTTTCTGTATAATGCCTATAGCCGAGTCCTCGGCCTTGTACCCCTGTCTTTATGGAATAAAATCTCGTTTTTACTTTTCGGTCCCTGGTTTTTGCGTGTTCCTTTGGCCGTCTCTTGGTCGTTATGACCGACTTGTAAACTCTGTCCGACTAAGTCCCGTGGGTATAGGACTCGGCAAATTTGTCGGCCGACCTAGCAACCTGAAGCTCGTCCGGGCCTCTCTATTTGGCCGGACCCGGCCGGGTCACTTCTAGAAACTTCCAGCGGGATCTGGATGGGCCCCCATAGTCTTTGCCGTGATGGGCCTTTGGTCTGGCAGGCCGGGTCGTCGTCACTCAGCCTTGGCCTAGGGTAGACGCGCCGCTTGCAGGCTAGCCCTAGGCCTGAACCATCGTTCCGCCCATCGAGGCATTAAATGCGGCGTCCCTTCGACGTCTTGTCGCCTCCGATTCCTCCACTACGGAGGTGCCGCGTGGCAGCCTCTTGGACTTCCTTCTCCCTTTAAAAGGCCTTTTCCTTCCGTGATTCTTCTTCTTCAATTCTCTCACCAAGCTTCTGCTCTTTCATCGTCTTCTCAGCCTCAACTCCAACCTGTAAGTAATGCCTTCCTCTTCTCATTCTTCTTCTTCCTCCCATCGGCCGTCTTTTGACAATCCGGCGGGGACTTCTCCATCATCCTCTTCTTCTTCTTCCGTCGTCCGCCGCCTGGAAATGCCGGCGGGCTTCCAGGCGGTGTCTTCTTCTTCCCTCTTAGCCCCTTCTTCTTCTGGGGCGGCCACTCCGATGAGCCCAGCCCCGTTAACTATGGTGGCGGCTTTGCCGGGCGGGGTTGTACGGCCGCGAGGCAAGTTTAACTCGGTTGTCCGGCCGTCCGGTCTTCCGTCGTCGGCCACAGCGGCGGACCTGGATATGGCCCGCTTTCTGCTTGGCCCTTCGGCCATGGTCGTCGCGGCGGAGAGCCGGCCTATCCACGACCCGCCGGAGGGTTTTGTGGGTATCCATTTGCACTCGGTTGCATTCGGCTTCCGAGTGCCCCCACACCCATTTCTTTCGCTTCTCTTTCGGCATTATAACTTAGTCCCGGGCCAGTTAGTGCCTAACTCTCACCGACTCCTGACCAGCTTCATCAATCTCTGCCATTGGTGGCAGTGCGAGCCAGATTTGGACCTATTCCGGTACCTCTTTACCGTGAACAAGGTCGGCTCTCACTCGCCCGGCTTCATCCAAGTCGCCGCCCGTCCGGGGCGACAACTTTTTGAGGGGTTGTCCGACTCGATAAAAGAGTGGAAGCCCCTTTATTTCTTCGTCCGACCTCGCTCCTCTTCCTTCACCTTTCCGACCCTCTGGCCGGCGACTCTCTTCAAGCCCTGCTCTCGGCGCGCCGTTTTTACGGAGGATGCTGTCATGGGCGGCGACTTCTTGAAGGGCTTCGGGCCGTACTCCGTTAAGTACTGGTCTCGAGTCCGGGCCATGGCCAAGCATGGCCTTCTGCCGGAGGGCGCCGCCACCATAGGTAGCGTCTCTTTCCTCTTCTTTCTCGTCTTGCTTTTTGTTTTCTGCGGGAACACTCACAAGTGAGTGTATTTCTTTTACAGGTCCGTACGACTCCGATACCTCCAGCTCCGGCGAAGCAATCGCACCGACTCTTGAGATGGCAAATAGAGCGGAAAAGATGAGGCGTCGCCTGACGCAACGCTCCACGGGTACGGCCGCTGCGTCCTCTTCTCAGCCATCGCCGGCGGTCCGGCCGACTCCTCCACCTTCCCACAACGTGGTCGACCTCACACCTTCGCCCGTGGTATCG